GCATAATGAAGTTTTGATTTAATTTCGAGAACTGATCAAAGCAGGAAGCCTTTTGGCCTAATCGCTAGTTTCTTTTTGTTATTTTTGGATACTCATGCACTTGTTACTATAAAATGGGCGTTTAGAAGCATAAACTATCTTGAGTAACTTTTTAGAAATACAACCGTTGTAGTTTTGGTTCTCAAATTGGTGAGAAAAGTTTCCCATTAATGCGCTGATAGCTTATCATTGACAGTTCGAGGGCACTTCCCGGCTACGTGCAGATGGTTAAAAAACATCTGCCCAGGGGCTCGGTGGAAATCCTGGCCATAATCTATGCATCCGGGGCAGGCTGCCCCCCTGCCCCCCCTCGTACGGGCCTGGGTGGGAGAGACAGAGAGTTAGAAAGTGGAGAGGATTAGAGAAAAAGAGCGTAAAGTAGGGTTTTAAAGGCATTTCATACTTTAATTAGCTTTTCTCCTGTAGTTTGGTTTTATCAAAGCGATACCACTAGGTAGTTTTATTGCTGGGATAATAGTGCGCTGAGCTGCTGCTTTTAGGCGTGATGCTCGTTTTATTGCTCACTTTTTGTTCGCACCTTTAACAAACCAATTTCACCTTTTCCAGGCACGTCTGCACGAATGGAGCAAGAATTATTAGACAAGCTTGAAGCGATGGAGCTCGGCGACCGCCAGCCTCGCGTTGAGAAGGGTCTGCTCGATCTGCCCGTCAATCTGATGTACGAGGTGTTCGGCCCGCTGGATGCCCGCAGCCTGCTCGAGGCGGCCAATTCTCACAGGACACTGCGCAAACACGTCGCCCTTTGGCCCGGCAAAAAATGGGACGTCGTTTTGTGCTCCGGTCGCACTATCCTGATCGACAATGACATCTTCCAGTCACAAGGCGCCGGTGTTCTGCTTCAAAATGCTGTCTACAACCAGGAAAATCGATCCGCAGTCACTGAAACTTCGACCAATATCTGTGACCTGCCGTACGATCTGCTATGGCCGATCATGGAGCCGCTTAAAGTAGAAGATCTATTGTCTGTCGCCAAATGCCATCCGAATCTTCAGCGGGCGACAAGGAAGATGATGGACAAGTGTATCCAGGGGATGGAATGCTTTCCCCAACAGGTGGTTTTCCACACAAAGCATTGCTATCGCGCCGGAGCGCTGACCTGCTCCGAATCCGCTATTTTGGTGACGGATGCCCATTTTGAATCGGTAATCTACGAGTTGCGGATAGATTTCCCTTCGGTGATGCGTGTAGACCGGTTGATCCTGAAAGGAGGCCAGCATTATGCTCACAAATGCGCTGGATTGATCGAGAAATGGAAGCCAAAGGAGGTGGCCTTCCCGCGATGGAGTGCTGAAGCCTTCAACTCGATTCCAGAGCTCCCTCGGCTGCTGAAAGATGTCGAGCGGCTGCAACTTGGGGTACTCACAGCCGAATGGTTGAGCTACATTCCGGAATGGCAATTTACCGACCTGACATTCTGCCTAAGCACTGGTTGCGAGGATGTCACCCCACAGATCCAACGCATGTGCGAGGAGCTCTTCGATCAATGGGTTGCTGGAGAGCGTAGCACATTTTTCGTTGAATTCGGTGTGGATCGGGGATGTCGATGGTTTGCGCTCGGCGGCCTATCTTCTGAGGCTGAACCGACCTATGAGGTTGAACGTGAGGATGGCAGCATTCTGATGCTGCACAACAGCTCGTGGGGTATTACGATGTCCACGTCTGGCTCTACAAATGGCCTCAATGTAAATTATCCACCAAAGTGGTCGGATTTTTAATAGCATTCTTTGTTTTGTCTTCTCACTTTGTTGCACAGTGTTGATAAATATTTCGTTCAAAACAATTGCAATTTTAGAGCGAATCGGGTTTAGCACCTGTTTTATTTATTAGAGTAATACTATTACTTCGTGGCTTACTTCGTGGCGTGAATTGGAGGCGATTTAGCGATAATTTTGAGGCCTTCCCCTGGGTTTTGATGCCGGGCTGCGGGTAGTTTCGCTGAATTTTCCCACGTGAAAACTGTGGTATCTTCTGATTTTGAAGGGATGATGCTTCGTTAAGGCTTCAATTCCGGTTAAATTTTGTCATAGATTTTTGTACTTTTAGGGGAGAGGGTTCTGCCAAAAAGGCGCGCTTTTTTTGCGCCGTTTGAAATGGTTCTGGACTGTTAGCGGGGGAGGAGACATTGAGAAAAACGTCATAAAACGTTGAAAAAATTTTTCTTTTTCGGTCTAACGTATATAAAAATGGCTAAAACCGCGCTATAACCCTAGATTTCGTGACTATAGGATAAATATTTTTATAATTTTTGATTATCGGAAGCTACTAAAAACAGTATTAAAATTAACTACAATTTATCACTAGGCAGGTATAGGCTAAACGAAAAGAAGATGCCAACCGACCCCCGCTAAAATAACCGACCTCCGATAACCTGGAAGCACCGCAGATTGACAAACTAATTTCAACTTTTCCAGGCACGTCGGCACGAATGGAGCAAGAATTCTTGGACAAGCTTGAGGCGATGGATCTCGGCGACCGCCAGCCTAGCGTTGAGAAGGGCCTACTCGATCTGCCCGTCAATCTGATGTACGAGGTGTTCGGACCCCTGGATGCCCGCAGTCTGCTCGAGACGGCCAATTCACACATTTTGCTACAATACCACGTCGCATGGTGGCCCGGCAAGAATTGGGACGTCGTTTTTCGATCACGCCGCACTATCCTGATCGACAATGACATCTTCGAGTCACAAGGCGCCGGTGTTCTGCTTCAAAATGCTGTCTACAACCAGGAAAATCGATCCGCAGTCACTGAAACTTCGACCAATATCTGTGACCTTCCCTACGATCTGCTGTGGCCAATCCTGGAGCCGCTTGATGTAAAGGATCTGCTGGAAGTGGCCAAATCTCATCCCAATTTTCTGCGTGCTACAAGGAACATGAGGAACAAGCGTTTCTCTAGTGTCGAATGCTGTCCCGAGAAGGTCATTTTCTGCGTCGGTTATGGCCCGTACTATCGCGAGACAATTTGGACGCATCAGGAGGCGGAGCTTCTTTTGGCGGGCGCCACGGTAGCATCCCTGAAATACGACGTGCAGGCAGATATTTCGCCGGATGTGCGTGTACAATCGCTAACGATTCAAGGCGACCCCCAACATGCCCACAAATGCGCTGGATTGATCGAAAAATCGAAGCCGCGCTATGTCGCCTTTCCGAAATGGGATGCCGAAGCTTTCAGCGCGAACCCGGGTCTGGCTCGCGCGCTTAAAGATGTCCCATTGCTGCGATTTGGAGTGCTATCCATCGATTGGCTGGATTACATTCCGGAATGGAAATTTACTTCGCTGGTCTTCTCCATGGAAGGAAAAGATGATGTCACTCCGCAGATTCAACTCATGTGCCAGAAGCTTCACGATCAATGGAAGGCAGGAGAGCGTGGCGAATTTTGTATGAAACTATTAACGTTGCTTCTGAAGATCCGTAGCTTTGATGTAGGCGCCATGTCTACATCCTTGCTATATACCCGCGGAGTAAAGCGTCCTGATGGCCTGATGCTTACTTTGCGGAAAGGCTTATGGTTTCTTACGATGACTTCCTATTCGCTTCCCAAATGATCTGAATGCAATTTTGGACCCCGCGTTGACCCATAATTATTGATCGCGTTCTTTGTTTTGTCTTCTCACTTTGTTGCACAGTGTTGATAAATATTTCGTTCAAAACAATTGCGATTTTTAAGTGAATCGGGTTCAGCACATTTTTATTTTATCTAGAGTTATCGCGTTGAAAGATTGGCGAATTTTTTATGAGCAATTTTGGATAACCCTTTTGGTTCTTTCGCATTATCGGTGAGGGAAAGAAAATGTTTTACTTAGGAACCAATTTTCCGAATATGAATCGCGGAAGTGTTTCTAAATGTTTTTTATTATTCCTAAACGTAAAAACTTTGCAAGATGTTATTAAAAACAAAAAAGTCGATTTTTCGGTCAAAATTGCCGTTTTTACCAAAATTTAGACTTTTTGAAAATTGGTGCAAGTTTTTAGATAGTTTTCTGGTTAAAATATAGGTTTGTTTTACTACCCAAATTATAAAAATACTTAGTAAGTACCGCTATTTTTACTGGTAGTTATTTGATGTTAGAATAACCTGAAAATTTGGTCATTTTGTGTCGGAAAAAATCACTTTGTCAACCTAAAATTAAATTTTTAATTAAAAGTTGTAAAGTTTTATGCCTAAAAATAATTTAAAACACTTTAGAAACAGATCCGTCATTCCTAAAAAAAATTTAGGCTTGCGCCGAAAAATTTTTGTTCTAGGCGATTCCTATAGAACCCAATTTTTTATTTTTTTTTATTTTTTTTTTTGAGCGTTTTACTAATCGCTGAAAGGTCATCAGCTCTATTCTCGTAGTCTCTTTTTTGCCGTCGACTAGCATACCAAAAATTTATCCATACAAAAAATGTCAAGCAGCCGGCGGCCAGCCCATCAATCTGGGCGGCCAGGGCGGGAAGCAAAAAAAGAAGTAGCCGAATAATTCTGGGCAGGTGATAAATACAGTATCCTGGCGAGAGAAAGGGAGAATTAGAGAATTAGAGCACACTACGGCATTTTGTCGAACCGATCGAATTCTGGGGGCACATAATAGGATAGTACGGGCTTGGAAAAGTGGTTAGAAAAAGCCGGAATTTTTCAATCTGGGCAGGATTTTAAAACGTTAATAAAAACGGGGAAATTTGGGTTAAAATCCGGCGAGAGAGCGTTAGAGATAGAGAGTAAATCGGGTAGGTTGGAGAGACAGATAGTTAGAAAGTGGAGAGGATTAGAGAAAAAGAGCGTAAAGTCGGGTTTTAAAGGAATTTAATTTCTTGGCATTTTTCTAGAAATTAAAGCTTTTTAAATCCCTTTAAAACCAAAAGAAAGATTTTTTAATAAACCGTGCCTATAAAAAATTTAAGAGTTTAATATTAAAATCGGGGGCTTTTCGGGCTTTTTTTCAGGGCTACAAACTACAAATTGAACTTGAAATGGACACGGGTACGCTTGGGACGGCCGGAAGAGTCTCGGTCCAAATATCGATTCATCAGACGCCGCGTATCCTCATCCATACCTGGGCGGGGCTCGTAGGTCGGGACAGAGTGGCGGAACGAGGAACCGAATCTGAAAAATAAAATTTGACTATTTTTTCGAGACTAAATTGATTTATTTTAGTGTTTTTCGAAACCTTATTCATAAATTCACTTTTTTAAAAAGAAAAAGGATTTATGGTTGTTTAATTGCGATTATTACGATACGAAAATTAGAGCGACCGTTAAACTGTATTCTAGCGTACGGTAAGGCAGCGGAGTGCCGTAGAATTTAATGAAAACGCTTGACTACGCGACACTCCGGTCAACACGTAGCTGACTTCTGAGAATTTTTATTTTCAAGGAGCCCCGAACGCGCGTGAAAGATTCAGGGATTTTTACGCAACGTGACCGCGACGCGTCGCCTTCTGTGAGTACGCGACGCTCCTGCCAAATTTAGCTGATTTTTTTAAGTTACTAAGGTAATTTTAATTCAATAAAAATACGAAAACTCGAAGCTAGGGATTTTGTCAAACGGCCAAATTTAATTTGTTTAATTTAATGCAATTTTTGCGAGATATTTGACGTTGTAAAGTTTAGACAAAGAAAAATTAAATTTTGATTTGTAGCGGAAATTTAGATTTTTTTAAAGATAAATTTTTACATAGAAAATAACATTTTTCTTGTTTATAGTGCCTTAAATAATGACAATTTGCATACCTGGGAGTGGCAGTGTAGATAGAAGAGACACCCGGCATATAGCGGGCAGATAGCTCTCTTCGATGGCTGGCTTCATAGGGGTTGTAGGGGGTAGAATACGGGGAACTACGAGTACTGTAGGGGGATACAGAAGAAAAGGGAAAACGGGTAGGGGGAGGGGATACGGTAGATTGATATAGAGAGGAATAGGAGGGACGCGTGGCCGATGAGTTACGCGATGAATATAGCCCGCCATACATCACGTTTCCCAGGCGCCATCTAAAAAAATAAATTAAATCAGATTTACGTATTTACAATTACATAAAACATAACATAAAATTACGGTATTTTACCGTACCCACCTCTCGATCTTTTGCTCCTCCCTCTTCTCTGGTTCTCTAGTATGGTGCATACCACGAGACCGGGACACGATAGTGTGCTCTAAGGACGGGCGAAGGGGATGGTGCTCGCGATGAAGCGGATGCCCAGCTCCTCTGAAACGATTTAGATGGGGAATCTCTCTCTCTCTCTCTCTCTCTCTCTCTCTCTCTCCCTCCCTCTCTCTATCTCTCTCTCTGTCTCTCTCTCTCTCTCTCTCTCTCTCTCTAGCTCTCTTTTATCCTCTTTTTTTTACTCATTAAGGGGAGCGTGACGGCCAAGTTTCAACCGTTTTAAAGTGTTTTTAGAAAACAAGATCCGCAGTTGAAAAACACGTTGAAATCCAGCTGTCACGCTCCCTTTAAAGGGACCTGGAAGCCAAATATTTTGATTTTTTTGCTTTTCTGGCATCCATTTAATAAAATAAGGTAACTATTTGACTTCCAAGTCCCTTTAAAATTGCTGTATCTGTGAAAATAGCCTTTCCATGGAAATTTCAGCTATACACATTTATTAGTCAGAAATTGGGTGGAGCAGATTACATAGAAAATCGAACAAATCGATTTGTGCCGGGTGCTGGGTGCATTTTGTGGAAAACAGATGAGTTAGAAAAACAGGGAGAAGCTTTGTAAAGTCGAATCAGGGGCAAGCGGGTGGCGAGAGAGTGGGGGGACAGCAGAGACACACAGAGAAATAGAGAAAAAACAATTAGCCGAAATGGATCGTAAAAATTGGATAAAGCATACCGGGCTAAAAGCGGGGAAGGGGATGGCAGTATGGAGAAGTTTGTTGGTGGGTGAAAATGGGGATTTTGGGGCGGGTTACGGTAGTGGGGCAGATTTTAGGCCCGGGGCTTCGAAAATTCGATATTTTGAATTTTTTGTTACGGATTTTGTAAACTGGCAAACAGTTGGAGTTTTGGTATAGAAATTAAATTAATATTTTGAACTTTTACAGAAAAACCAAAACTTCAAAGAATCGAAAAATTTTGCAACTTTTTGAAAGGATTTTGTAAATTTTTGGATGCATTTTTAATTTATATTTTCGATGTAAAAAGAGGCGGACAATATTGAAATTTCCCAATTTTTACAAAAACGAGAAAATTTAATTTTTCAAAAATTATTTTTTGCTTTTTTATTTTTTCTTTTTTGACGGGGAAAATTTCTAGTTGCAATTTTAAAAAATACTACCGTATCCTCGCCCAAAAATGACAGTATAAATCAGGGTAAGGTAGAAGTCTGTGGGGGTGGATAGAAGCGGAAAAGGGGTAGAGAAGCAGAGAATTGGCTCTCTTTTTCTCTGATTCTCATTTTTCCTGGTGCTCTCTGTCTCTAATAGCATGGATACATATGAGTGTAGACGGAAGAGCGTGGCATAGCCGAGTATGAAGATGTTCTGAGGAGAGACATCTGTCTACACGCCTGATCGAGCTTCGATGAGAGGTCCTGGTATTGATGGCGCAACTGAACAGACACAAATATACACTGATCCACGTATTCAAGCATTAATGGATGGGTGGGAATCAGTAGGATGGATGGCAAATTGGCTATTACTAGAAAAACCTTAAAAGTAAAAACCCCGGGAGTTACGGTTGAAATTTGGACGGGATGCAATTTGCCGCGACGCGTCCGCGACGCATTAGAGGGGAACACTACGCATAAACGCCCTACAGTCGTTTTTTTTGGACGACAGACTGGAATTTCCTCAAAGAATTTTCTCAAAACCTTAAAGCCCGGGATGGTAGGTTTCCTACGTTTCCTTTAAGACGTTACGTTCGTCCCAAAAAGTCTGAAAATCTACAAACTACGGCAGAAATTGGGCGTGAAAACTCGCGGTTCGGCGTTTCGTCAAAACTTAAAACTAAAAAGCGAAAGGACTGGAACTGCGGTAAAAATTTGGCGCGGAATTGCTAAAAGTACGTGTAATACGTAGTCCGGCCCGGCAAGTCTTTAGCTAGTAAATGAATAAACCTAGGAATTCCCCGCATAAATGCGGACAAGGTGATACGATTCAAATCAATTTTCCCAAAAAAATTGGGCCCGCTCCGCTACAACCTTGTAAATTTCAAGAAAAATGAATTTAGAGTTTAAAAACCCTAAAATGAATGAATAGATTATAATAATGAATAATGCACTTGAGTACTAGATTATAGTCTGCTGTTTTGAGTGAGCCACGCTCTAGCAAATTATAGCCATTAACTCAGAATATCAGAAATTGCCTGAAAAAGCCTCTCGCTTACGGCCTAAAAGCGCTAATATCATATTTTGCGAAAATGCCTAAAATTCTACGATCGTTTGGAGTGATAAAGTTTATGACAAAAAGTTTATTCTGAACCCTATCAACAACTAGCTCAAAAACCCGCGATTTCACGGGAAAGCGACTACGCAAAGTTACGTGTTTACAGGGCCATGATGCCAATCGGCATGTGGACCATCTGGAAAATTACTTTTTTTTGCATAAATTTTTTCGTGGTACTGTACGCTGCCTGTCAGAACATCTTTTTAGCTGAACTGTACTACGCTACATTTAATTCTAAGGCTACAAATGCCTAGACTACAAACTACAAAAAAAATCAGAATTTTCAATTTTGCAATAAAAAAGATTTTATAGCTTTCCACTTGCTAGCTGGCCTACAAACCACAATCTGCACTACAGCACGCCTAAATTTTTGTGTTTTAGTGATGACTAGAAGTACAAACTACAACTATTCTATCCGGGGGGTTGGTGAGGTCAATTTTTAGGGTAAATTAGGGATTTGGGGAGGGGGATCACTTCTTGCTCACCCGGTCCTTATTAATTCTCTCGCGGGACAGACTGCGCTCCAGGGCGCCGATTCGACCCTGAAATTGGGCGGAAAGTGTTGAGAGGACAGGTGCCGAACGAGTACGTGACGATACGGGTGGACATATGATGGCTACGGCTCAATCCTATCAACGGGACACTGAGGACGACAAAAAGTACGGTAATGGGTCGACTGGCTATCAGAAGGTACTGTAGATAAGTTTTTAGCAAAATATCTACACTGATTTCCGGGAAATGCCGTAATCCCCCCGAAAAATCGGTTACGACATGAAAATCGGAAATCGATTTTTACCTACTTTAGAGTTGTAAAAATTATAAATCAGCTGTCAGCCCCCCCCCCCCCCCCCCCCCCCCCCCCCCCCCCCCCCCCCCCCCCCCCCCCCCCCCCCCCCCCCCCCCCCCCCCCCCCCCCCCCCCAATTGAATTTCAAATCTATTTTGATGGCGTAATCGGTTCAGGATTACGGTATCAAGGACAACTTTTAGAATCAATGCAAATTTTGCCAAAACCTTGACTACAGTACCCGTTTTTCGAATAACGATTTGGACACGATTCTAACGACACAGGACTGTGCTTTGGATGCCAGAAAAGAAAATGAAAACCGGAGAAACGTGAATCGTAAAAAGGTGTACCTCGTAGAGACTGCGAACACCGACCGGGGTCGAGTCGTAACGTCCCGATTCCAGATAGAGCGGCGTCGATGTGTAGGCCTGGAAATGAATGGTAATTGTTAATAAAAAAATTTAAAAGCTACGGTTCTAAACATACCATACCTTAAAAATATACAAAAATGTAAAAAATTAGCGAAATTCACAATTTTGAAAACCTAACCAAAGTTTTTTAATTACCCAAAATTGAGTTTAATTTCGTGTTAATTTTAAGAAATAACTAAACTAATTTAATTACCGGTCATCTGACTAAAATAAATTAATCAACAAATAAGGAATCACGTAATTTTGAGTAATTTCCATTATTTTTTTAGAGAAAATTTGAGATATCTTTCCAGGAAAATCGTCAGTCTTTGGGTGGATGCGTAACAGACCCCAAATCCTTCCCCTCTTCACCCCCACTCTATTTGCTCATCGTAAAAAAATAGCTCGGTAAATTGTTGCGGAAATGAGGGGGCGGAGGGCGGCTGTCGAAAGTGTCAACAGGTGCACTTTGGAAATATTGATTTTTAGCGGGTTTTTAGGCGTTCTTGGGCACTTAAATGGAAAGGTTTGTCCTAGCAAAACATGATAAATCGGCCGGAAACGATTAGCAGGAAAATTCGGAAAAATGAGAATGTCAAAAACACTTTTTAAAACTTCGTTTTTGGCTTCCCAGTCCCTTTAAAATGCACGCGACTCGATTTTGCACACTCTTTGTAGTGAATTATATTGACTGAATGCCAATGGACAAAATCAAACACAATTTCCGGTTTTCAGTCCCTTAAAAACCAAATGAATTTAGGTCCTGGTAAATTCCGATGAAAATGCATTTTAAAGGGGTCCGGAAGCCAAAATATCCATCTGACTATAATTTTTCCGGGTCATTCCGTTTAACTGGGTTCCAAAACGTTACCTCCGCTAGAAAAAACTACGCTCTGACCTCTCTACCCCCAAAAACTTAAAAAACCAGGGCTATTTCCGGCCAAAATGAAGCTAAAAGGGTCGGGACGTCAAAATCCAAAAATTACGATAATTTTCTATGTTCATTATTTTAACTGGATGCCGAAAAGGCAAAAATCTAAACCCCGACTTGCCTACCCCCTTGAAAACCCAAAAACCCGCGGCTATTTCCGGTACAGGGCTACCTGCAGTTTGCGTAGATATCGGGTCAGATTGCGGTTTGCGAGGGCTCTCTCGAAGCTCTCGTGCATCTTCACCCTCTCTTCTTCTCTTTTCTTCTCTTTCTGTCGTGCAGACAGTCAATTCCCACCCCCTGGCCGCCGATTATTTTCAAGTGTTCTGAGGATTGGGGTGTACACTCGCGTACTCGGCTGGGTCCCCAATCAGCAGACGAGCAATATTTGCACACAAAAAACCGATGGGCGGTAATGTTTGGTGTTTGTAGTTTGTAGCAGCAATAATAGACCGCGGGAATTATACGGCGTAATCGGTTGCTAGTCAGAATATGGGTTTTTTTGTAGTTTAAAGTCAGAAAATCCGGAAATTCCAAAAATTAGTAAGTTTTGTAGTTTGTAGTCGAAACTGACGTCCAGTCTAGTGATTCGACTACAGAATACAATATTTTATAGCCTAGAAGCAGGTAGAATTTATGGTTTGAAGCTTGTAGTCAGAATTTGAGGGTGCGACCCGGAATAAATTTGTAGACTGTAACCGGGCTACAATTTTTTGGGGGTAGATGTGGCTTATGGTCCAGCTTAGTGAAATAACCGAATAGAATTCAAAGTTGTAGCCTGTAGCCGTAGAAATATTGCCAAAAATGACCGATTTCCGGCTTCAAATGCGGCCTGTCAATTTCGGAATGTGCGCGGCGAGATCAATGAAAATCCGCTCTTTTTGAGCTTTATCCCTCTCTCTCTCTCACTCTCTTCCCGATCTCTTTAATGTTTGCCAATCCGTCGCTGTGGCTACTGATTTCAACCCCCGCCTCGACGCGGGTAAAAACCGCGAATCTCGAGTGTTTGCAATCAATCCTACCCGCGGGTCGTTGGATAGGGAAGACGTGCGTCCGGAAAAGTAGGTTTTAAAGGGTTAAACTATGGTTTAAACGAAAACAAAACGTAAAGGCCTATCTGGCTTCGTTTTTAAATTTTTAAAAAGGCTGAAAAATTCTTAGAAATTGGCTTTTCACTTTTTTAAGGGTTTGGAAACAACATATAGACCAAATTGTAATTTTAGACTAACTAGAAACATGCTTTAAGCTTTTAATTGTATAACAATTATCATAAAAACGTTGCGTTTAAACAAAGATTCTACTCACCGAATATCCGATGGGCCTGGAGACGGAGCTGGACCTCTGGACACGCTCGTAGCTGGCCGGCTGATAAGCCTCATACGGCGTATCCATCTGGATCGGGAAATAGTATATCAAACGATGAAAGGAGCAGGAATAAATGTTGTGACATAGAGTTAGAAACTTACATGATTGACGAAGCTATCAACACGCGAGAGACGGCCACCTCCCAGGTACAGGTCTACGTTGCCGCGAGAGCTGGAAAATTCATGGACTGTAGTCTGTAGTCTAGCTGAGAAACTGGGACTACAAAAACTGAAACCTTCAATTTTCTAACTGGAATTTTCAAGCAAACAAGGATTTCGCTCACTTTATAAACTAACGAATAGAATTTTTAGGGGTTTTCTTGATTACAGCAACGTGTGGTTGGTAGTCCAGTTTGTAGTCTGTAGCCTAAATTGTAGGCTGACGACTACAAAGTATGAAAAATGCCGGGCCTTCGCGCTGCTACAAAAGTTTTGCGAGAAAAGCCAAATATCTGACCAATCCTGACGATAAAGTGTAAACTGGACTTTCTACGACCATTTGGACTACGGATTTTGTAGTTTGTTGTCTAATTTGTAGTTTGTAATGTGGCTATAAACTCCAAAGGTCGGGAAAACGTTACCGTTAAAAATACGGTACCTGGAGCGGCTGAGTGCATTGGCCGAGTCGGCAACAACAGAGCTTGTCCTCTGCAATTCGTAGTTCTTCTGTCCAGCATAATCGATGAACGAGGCGAATGAAGTGGAACGGCCGGGAGTACGAATAACGGCTGATGGTGGCGGCTGAGAATATTCACGAGAATGCATCGCGGCTGGGGCTGGCAGGGCCGACGAGAACCTGAAAAAAGAATAGATGAAAATCTTATAAAATTTATGACGCTTCAAACTTATAACTAATTATAACTTCAAACTATAAACCCGCTATCTGCCACGCGACTGTTCGATTTCCGGTCATTCCAAATTCCATTTCGAACTTTTAAAGGGAATTTCCTCGAACCGCGTTTTTCTGGCTGTCAGAAAGCGGAATTACATGGCATACACGATTGCTATCTTCGTTGTTTTTGTTTTGAAACCTTTTTTGCCAAAATTTCGCCGACTTTTTTCGATTTTTATATCGATTTTCGTGCTTTTTCTTCCGTTTGTTTTGCTGGCCGGGTCCCCTTAAAACTTGCTCTTTTGCCTGTGAGTTAGTCGAATTAAATGGCGTGTACAAAATCTAATCTATTTTACCTTTTTACCGTTTAACTATGTGAAAATCTCGCTTTTCGTTTTTTTGGTGCGAAGGATTTGATCGTGCTATTGCTGTCACCGCCCCTTTAAAATACGCCAGTTAGCCGATTTACGCAAACTGTACACCAGACACCAAGCTACAACCACTTACATGGATCGATAGTAGTTGGATGATGAGCGCTGGGCCCGTCGAGAATTGCGACGTTCGCGGGTACGGGATCGCGATCGGGAGACGAGACGGGAGGTCGAGTATAGGGCGTTCGAGAACGGGCCTGGAAAGGGAATTTGATGGCGTAATGGATTGAGAAATTGAGAAAATGGGCTTAAAAATAGAGCACTAAAAACCTCATTCTCAAAACATCTCAAAATTATCGATTTTGGCGCGCAGAATTTCATGTCGTAATGAATTGGTTAAATTTCAGAATTAAACCAGCTACGAGAATTTTGTTCAGTCAAATTTAGGCAAATTGACTTTCCAATTCCTTTAAATTAAAAAATGAATCGACATCGTTAAATTTGCATACGAATTTGATGGCGTAATCGATTGTCAGATGTCAGAGTCACTTTGAAACGCAATTTTGACTAACCAGTGCTGACGTAATCGTCGAATTTGCGCGTGTAGGCCTGGACGGTGGGGGTGTAGGATGAGGAATATCCGCTGTCGTATTTCTTCGAAACGTCGCTCGCATAGTTCGAAATCGACTGCAAAGAGTACAGTTGAGTAGCGTCAATAGGCGTACCTCGTATTTCTTTCCAGAATCGGCTGGTGTCCACGAGGAGAAGGACTCTCCCACTGGCTCACGCGCTGGCGGAATCTTGCGGTGGGAATCCTGCAAAGTGACGCATGGATACGGAGATAAATGGAAAATTTTCGGTGCTTCTCGCTTAGCGGCTGTTTTTTATTTGCCATCCAATACGAAAGACCTGTCAAAAATATATAGCATATTTTTAGTTTTTTTTGGTTTTTTTTTAGTTAGAGCTTCAGCTTTTCAAAATAGCAAAAAATAGTTTTACCATAATAATGCGATTTTTTTACTGTCGTAATAAGAATTAAACAAGTAAGTAAGAGCAGATAAAGTAGGAGTAAAGAAAAAGAGCAGTAAGTAAAAAATTCCCATAGAGATGATCGATAACTTTTTTGGAATTTTAGCAAACAATAGCAACTACAAACTACAAAACCAACCTGTCAGATCGAGTGAAATTTTAGGAAAATTGATGTATTTTGATACCGTAATTTCGATATTTTAGCCACCGTATTCCCGCGTACCTTGTCGTAGTCATCATAAGTCTGCGTGATCCTCTGTGGTTCCCTCCTTGGTGGCGGCGATGGAGATGCACGACGGGCCGGAGGGGACGAACGCTGAAAAATGGAAAAAATCCGGTGGAATTACGGGAGCCATCGTACCCTCTCCGGGACGGGGCTCGGCTCCTTGGCCTCGGGCTCCGGAGCAGCCTCTTCTTGGGGTTCCTGAAATATGAAAAATAGGAAAAATTTCTGGAGGCTGTTGGCTCGATGTAGCTGTTTCAAAGGGACTGGGAAGTCAGAAAATCTCTGGAACATTTGAGTTTTTCACCTCACAATCCCTTTAAAAGTGTCTATGGATGCAGGCTAGCAGGCAGATAGCTTATTAATTATGCTATGATAATTGAATTATTTCTAAAATGCGCTTAATATGCAAATTAATTGTATAATACGAATTTTGAAGTTTTTCGGTTGTTTAAACCAAACAAAACCTTTATTTTATCGTTAGAGACCGTCTGAAATGATTTGGGGATCAGGCTGGCAGGCAGCTAGCAAGTTTAAATAGCTATAATAAGGTTATAGCGCTCCAAAACTATTTAAACTACACACTACCGAACTAGCGATTACAGGATTTTTTAAGCGGGTTAGTACTATTTTCTATTTTTTTTCTTACTTCGACGGGGGCGGGTTCTTCAGCTGGAGCCGCCTTGAAATTCGAATATAAATGGAAGTCCTAATTTTTAAGGGAAAGGGAAATAACTATTAATTGGGGATAGTAGGATGCGATTTAACAGGCAATTTTCTATGCTTTTTTACCTCTTCCGGAGCCGCCTCTTCTTGAGGGGACGCCTGAATTAAATTGGGAAATTAGGCATATATTTTAACTTTTAATTTTAATTAAAAAAAATGTAATTTTCAAACTTTTCAACACCATTTTTTGGTTTAAAAGTTAACCGGAGCAGTTTTGCGGTAGTTTCTGCGTAAATTGCAGGTCAGAAAAGCTGGAACTCACATCAACGACCTCCTCGGCCTGTGGTTCCTCAGCCGGGGCCTCTTCCGCAACAGGTTCAGCCTCTTCTGGCTCAGCCTCGGCAACCTTGGCCTTCTTCTTCTTCTTCTTAGGAGATTTCACCGGGCTCGAGGGTTCTGAGGCCGGAACCTACAAAATGGGTGCTTTAAGGGTTTTTAGGGTTTTTAAAGGGAGTGTGACAGCTAGATTTGGGTCTGAAAAATCAGAACTCTACATTGATCTAATCGAAGAAAGGCATTAAATAGAGGGAGTACCGGCCATAGAAAGCAAAAGAGACGCATAGAGAGAGAGAGAGAGAGAAAAGTGAAAAATTCCCACCTCTTCCTGTGGCGGGGCAGATTCATCAAAAGTGAATTCTTGCTGCTCGACTTGTTCCTCGACGGGCTCTTCAGCCGGGGCCTCCTCGGCAACTAAAAAATGGAAATCCATTTTTAATTACCCCAAAATTCCGAAATTCTGACGAAAATTTGATTTTTTCGCGTTGGCCTGATGGCTAGCGCAGTTGCCTCTAAACTTAAGGGTCCGGGTTCGACCCCCGCCCGAGCCAGAACTTTTTCTTTTTAAATTTCCGACCTGGCTCCTCTTCCGGGACGGGCTCCTCCTCAGCTGGAGGCTCCTCCTCGGCCACAGGCTCCTCTTCTGGGACGGGTTCCTCCTCCACTGGGGGCTCCTCCTCAGCAACGGGCTCCTCCTCAACCGGGGCCTCTTCTGGGACCTAAAAACGATAGTTAACTCTGTTTATGCGCGTCTTTTAATGCACCAAGTACCCAGAAAATCAGCTCTTTGCTCCCCTCTTGCAAATGCACAAGCTCCCCAAAAACGATTTCCGGATTTTTGGATGCGTTGCGTTTTGCGGGCCTGCAAAAGTACAAAAATTCCCTTTAAAACGAGCGTAAAGTAACGGAATTTCATAAACGCGACCTCCTCGGCGACGGGCTCCTCCTCAGCTGGTGGCTCCTCTTCAGCAACCGGCTCTTCTTCTGCCGGGGGCTCCTCCTCAGCTACAGGTTCCTCCTCTGGGACGGGCTCCTCTTCTGCTGGAGGCTCTTCCTCAGCCACTGGCTCTTCCTCCGCTGGGGGTTCCTCCTCAACCGGGGCATCCTCTTCAGGGGCAGGCTCTTCTTCCGCTAAATGACACGGTGAAAATTGGCTACCTTGATAGGTATTTCTGCTCTCACTCTTGTGATGTCCTTCTATCTCTCTCTCTCTCTCTCTCTCTCTCTCTCTCTCTCTCTCTCTCTCTCTCTCTCTCTCTCTCTCTCACTCTTCCTCTCTATGACTCTTTCCGTCTCTCCATCACTCTCTCACCTGGTGGCTCCTCTTCAGCGACCGGCTCCTCCTCAACCGGGATGTCCTCTACTGAAAATGGCACATTGAACTTGAGATTCTAAGGGATCATCGAAGACAAAATTCAGGCCAGCTAGCAGGGGTCATTTGGGAAAACGGATTATCGATCGAACGATTATGAACTACAGGGTGTCCGAAATGTCGAAAATCAGGTGAGACTAGCAAAGTGTCTTGCGGAATTTCGTTACCACAGGTTATGCATTAATAAAAACATGATTAGGGGCATGCTAGCAGGGATCATTTAGGAAATAAGGCTCTCGCCAAAAATTTAGCTGAATTATGGCGCGAAAATCAGAAAATTGAGGCGTAATCTAGCAGGGACAATTGGAGAATTAGCCCACATAAATGGGCCAAAAGAGCTAAATAAATTCACTGACCCTGCTCCTCCTCAGCCACAGGCTCCTCCTCCGCCGGGGGTTCATCTTCAGCCGGGGCCGCCTCGTCGACAGGCTCTCCCTCGGGCTGCTGAAAATTCGACGGTTTTCAAGGGACCGGAAACAAGTTTTAGAGCAATAATGACTCTCAAATATTGTCAGGAAATGTTAACTGGATGTCAATTTAGAGATTAAAATTTAGAAGTATTCGAAATATTGTCAAAAAAATTAGTAGAAAGCGTTTAAAGGGCGAAAATTAGCATGCCTCTTCCTCCTGCGGGGCTTCATCCCCTTCGCCCTCCTGGGCATCATGGAATTCCTCTTCTGGTTCTTCCTTCACCGAGTCGAGGCCCTCCTGAAAGAGGAGAGGCGATAGAAAAGAGGGACAGCGAGAGATGGGGAGGGATAGAGAGACAGATAGAGATAGTGAGAAAAATCGGTAAATTTAGCTGACAGTTTGAAAGTTTGTGAGATACTCTTAGTTCTAAAAGCTGTATCCAGCCAGCTGGCAGCCATTCCATTTTATGCGAAGCCGATACGGTAGCGCAGGCTTGGATTTAGAAAGCGGAAGGTGCAAAGAAGTGTAATTAGGGTCAAAATGAAGCGATAGAAAGAGAGAGAGAGAGAGAGAGAGAGAGAGAGAGAGAGAGAGAGAGAGCGAGCGACAGACCTGTGCCTCTTCTGCTTGTGGAATCTCCTCGATGCCGTCCATACTCGTCGTCATCGGGTCGAACCCCTCGGCACTTGTGATATCCGGCACCTGAAAACGGTTACGGTAGGAAAAACGAAGACCGAAAGCGGCAAAAATTCAGAATTTTTGAAAGAAAAAAACCAACAGACACTTTTAAAAAATGGCTGGGAAAATTCGAAAATCCGAAGTATTCTGTTTCTAAAGGGACTGGGAATTTGAAAATCAACGCCCTACGCCGGCTAGGCCTAGACAGCTATGCTGCACTTCAAATAATCCTTCAATTTCTGTGCTAATTAATGCTTCAATGATGAAATTTTAGCAAATATCAAAACAGTTTGACGGTGTCACTTGGCCTGCCGCTAGACCTAAGCGATGGGAGGGGTCGATTCTACCGCTTCCCTGCCCCTTTAAACGAATAGTGCCACCTGGGATAATAATTAAAATGGGGAGGCGCAGTGCAAAAATCGAGTTGGACTTTTACTATATTCTGTTTATACGGGCAAAATAGCAGAGATCATTGAGGAGGCCTAGTGGATTAAAGGGACTGGGAAGGCTCGAATAAAAAATAGAGATTGCCGGGAATTCTTATTTTCAGGGGGGAAGGAAGCGGGCAGAGTTGGTTGAGGAATTTAGCTACATTAAATGGACCGGGAAGGGAGAAATCGACTCGAAGATCCGAACATTTATTACACTTTTCCAAGGTCCTGATTCCGAAATGCCCGACTTTGCTTTTCGGAACCATCTAAAGGTATTTAGGTGCAAAGGTTGAGAGGTTTAATGAGATAGGTATCATAAATAGTCAACAAAAGTTAAGATAAGTAAGTAAGTACCCCTTTTCGACCCGGGGAGGGTGAGAATGAAGGAGGGTAATTTGAGACGAAGAGGATGGCACGGATGGAAGGGGAATGGAGATGTTTGTGTCTCTCTAACAGTGTAGGCGAGGGAGAGAGAGAGGGAGAGAGAGAGAGAGATAGAGGGAGAGAGAGAGACGGAAAGGCCCAAAAAATGGCAACAGCCACTTTCGGCCCAGCCGGGGAGGAGGAGGTTTGAGAACAGGGGAGCATGACCCTATGACCCGCCCCTTTAGGCATTTTTTGGCGAGAAAGAGAAAGAGCACCACCGGAAAGAGCCCTTAATCAACCTCAAAAGGAAGACCAAAAGCCATGGAAAAGCCCCCGCCATTCGGCATTATTGATTGGCGAGGAATTTTGGGAAATCCGTGACGCAGTTATCTGACGCTCAAGAAAAGCTCTTGCTCACAGATGGCGAATTGAGAGATTTACGGTTTAACACGGAAACAATGTCGAAAAAGGACCGATTGATAAAGAAAGCAAATACGGAAATCGCCGTTTAAAGGGGTCGGGAAGTGTGAGCATCGACTCCTTGTATCGACTGGGTCTAGACAGCTACGCAACGTGTCAAATGACGCCTTTACTCCGAAGCTTGATAACTCGACGTCGCGTAACGCAGGGATAAAGAGCTCTGGCATGCATTATCTGGCTTGTCGCGTAGCTGTCGAGAAGCAGTATCAGGAAGGGGTAGATTTTCTCACTTCCAAGTTCCTTTAATTAAATCTAAAAACCAAGATAGCAATAAGGTTTTCCCTGCATTTTGCATCACAAAGCTTTTAAAGGAAAGGTCAAGCCAAGGAAATCCTATTTGAAGCGCATCGCTTAGCGGTCGAGACCTAGTCGATCGATGAGGTCGATTTTCGCGCTGTCTAGCCCCTTTAAACGGTATAGAAAAAGAAAGGCGTAAAAGAAGCGCACTCCTCCTCTCATTTGAAGCGTTCCTAGGTGTTGGGTGTAACGATCGGAAGGAATTTCTCCTTCCCTCAAAGAGAACATAAAGCTTAGGGCTGTGAATGACTGACTGTGGGTCATAAAATTTGAGGGTCTCGACAGGGAGGATGACATGTGGTTGGAGAGAGAATGAGAGAGAGTGAGAGAGCCAGAGAGAGAAAGAGAGAGAGAGCAAGAAATTTGCGGATTCAAGGAAATTTAGATTTCTCTACCTGATCCTCGGTCCGATCTTCCTCAGCCGGATGTGCGCTGATCTCCTCGTCTCCTTCCGTGGCTGCAAAAAATACGGAGCATCTCGGAATTCTGTAGTTTCGAGCTTACCTTCGGCCACCTCGACTTCCTGAAAAATGGCATTAAAAAACATTTTATTAACTTTAAAAGAATTAAAACTTTGAAAATCAAAGAAAATTATGAAGAAAACTGCTCAAATTGTATTAAATTAAACTTTAACTTAGCCTTATATTACGCTAAAAAGCGCGGGTTTTCCACAATGAAAAACTAATAACGATTTAAATGAAAAGCTCACCTCGTATTCGTCGGACATTTTGGCGAGCGAGGGAACACCTGAAAAATCGTGGCTTTCTGGAGCTAAAAGCTTTATTTTCTAGAGCTATTTAAAAACTATAAAATTAAGCATTTTCTAAACTCAAAAAGTCCAGAAAAACGGCTTATTAACATCTTTTCGTGATATATCTGGCACGCAGCTTCTTCTCCCCCGCTCCTTCTTTTCACGTCTTTTTGTTGCAAACACTTGGAACACTTGGTGGGAGCACTTTTTAGGGTGTTCACGGGGTCTTGGCGAATGAGCGAGAGAGAAAGAGAGAGACAGCGAGACAGCGAGAGAGAGAGAGAGAGAGAGAGAGAGAGGGTGAATGAGTTAGAGGGAGAGAGAGAGGGAGAAAGATAGAGAGAGTAGAGTGAGTGAGTGAGAGAGCGAACGGTAGAGTCCATCCGTCCTATTCTTTTTCTCGACTCGAGATCGTTGAGGCCCTCTCGCGTTCCTTTTTATTTGGTACCCTCTCCCCACGAAACAAACAATGCGTGGGCTCATTTCACCCCTCGAGAAGAACGGTTATCCTTCTAACTGCCATCTGATTCGTGGAAATATAGTACGGGAACAACAAAATTGCTTTTTTTAGCAGGCGAGGTTCTTTATTAAAATAGTTACTTCCGTAAAAATGACAAATTATCGTTTTTTCGTAAAAATCAGCTTTGGAAAGGGGCTAATAAGCATCCAAATCGGCCCCTTCCATCGAGTAGGTCTTGGTAGCTCCGTGCTACGCCAAATTCCACATCCTAGTTTTTGGATTTTTGCACTTAATAACGTCCGAAAAGCTATAAAAACAAGATTAAAGGAGTTATTTGGAGCATGGCGTAGTGTCTAGACCTAGCCGAAGGAGGGGTCGATTCTCGCGCTTGCTAGTATCTTGAAAACGGCTGTTTCATTAGGAATCATACCTAGTAAGAGACAGTCAGTTCTGCAATGCGGGTCGACGATATTTCACGCGGACTGGCCTGAAACAAAAATTAGCATAAAAAATAAAAACATGCAAAAAATTCCAAAACACTGAAATCGGGTTGAGATTTGAGAGGACTTGAGGTTGAAATGGTTTTGGTCTTAAAGGGCCCAGGCATGGCTCGATTATGGATTTTCTAGGGTTCCGGAAACTGACAAAAAAATCCATGGCCCACAACAAACCATGCCCCGTGCCTTGCCAGGCCCTCTAAATAAGCTGGAGTGGTAGGTTTAGATGCCGTGATCGAAAAATAACTAATGGATGTCTGTTCCCTTTAAAAGAGCGTAAGACTAAAAAGAAAATCAAATATAGCGAAATAGTGTCCGGTTCCGAAAATTCTCAAAAGACGAAAGGATGGATAGCCGCTCTCTTGGGTTGGGTCATAGTATGCGGATCTCACACAGCAAAAGTCGACAAATGAATGAGACATCCCTCTGGAAAGAGAGAGCGAGAGAGAGCGAGAGAGAGCGAGAGAGAGAGAGGCCAAGAAAGAGCATAAACCAGTCAAGTTGAGGGCCCAGATATCCAGTCCAGGTGGGGAATTGTGTCATCCGTTCCATTCCAATCCCGTCCACCCCCACCCTAGCAATTCCGCAGAAAAAACCGTGGCCAAGGGAAAATGGGTGGTTTTTGACGATTGACGGACCAAGGAGATTTGAGGCAGTACCTTGTTCCAAAAAAAGGCAGGAAAAACAAGGTCAATGTTACCTAAAAATCGTGAAAAAATGCTTTTTTCTGGTCACTGCAAAAATTTCAGACATAACTTTTCGAATTCAAAGAATTGTAAATTCTATTTTAACGAATTTAAAATATGATTTTACTAGCGTGAAATCCAAAGAAATGAAGTAAAAATTAGCAAAAAAAAGCAAAAAGCAAAATGCGGAAATTTTCGGCAAGCTTACTTTGAAAATAGAAAACCATAAATTTAGGTTTCACAAACAGTATTAATAAAACCTTAATTAATTTAAATAGATTGACAAAAATTGGCAGCTAGCCAGAATCACAAAATGAGGCGAAAAAGTCTTTGGAAATCCGACTAGGCTAGTCCGCCAGCTCCTCGTCGCCCTTCGAAGTACAACCCCAGGTCGTACCTAAGGAAAGGAGCGGAATCGAGCCTTTTTTTCGCGTCAGTCCGCCTAACTGTCTGTCAGTTTGTCCATTTCAAGGGTTTCTTCGGTCTCTGTCTGTCTGTCTGTCCGTCGCTCTGTCTCCCTCACAAGACCCTCATATTCCGCCCGTTATCTTTTCCGGAGCTTCAACTCTCCGGCTCAAAAATCTCTCCGTGGAGGAGGTTAAGCTGCCTTTTTCTCTGCCCAACCCGGTGGGGGCCCTATTTTTGTGCGTGTTGTTTCTCCTCTTGGCCCGGGCCAGAGGGGAGAAGGATCAGCGGGGAAGAGCATGAGAGGGTCCCCTCTCCTCCCACGTACCGGCTCCCCCACCCTCTGGCCCTCGTTGGGCCCTAAGGCTTTTTGGTTGTAAAGGAGGAGGAGGAGGTGGTTGCGGGGAGCATCAGCCTCGCTTGAAAACTGGCCCTCAAACAAGAGGACAGCGGCCAAAAAAGACCCCCAACGCCCAACCACCACCAACCAACACCAGGGAAGGGAGGGGGAACTGGTTCAAATTGAGGGGGCCAAAGAATTTATAACCCATTTTAAAGGGGATAGAAAGCGCCAAAATCAACCCCATACTTGGACTAGGTCTAGACAGCTACGTGGCGTTGCAAATGACACGTAAAATAGCGGATAAGCGGAAACTGGTTAAGATCCAGTGGGAAAATTTAGAATCCATTTTAAAGGGACTGGATCGGACCTCAAATCTACCCTTCCGTCGACTAGGTCCACAAAACTACATTGGGCTCCAAATTACAGCTGAAATTGGGCAAACGACGATATGGAGGTAACACGGAATTGCCTAAAAATTACTCGAAATTATCTGCCTTTAAGGAAATTTTCCGGTGCCGAGATCGACCCCCCTAAGTTCGCCTAGGTCTCGACAACTACGTGAGGCTCCAAAAGGCCAATCATAGCCTAATATCATGTTGATTGGTGAGAAATGTTTGAGCCGGATGGGTCGGCGTGTTATGAGCCATTTTAAAGGGGGTGGAAAGTGCGAAACCCGACTCCTTCCTTTGACTAGGTCGAGCCAAGGGTCCAGCCAAGTACTTGACGCTCCAAAAACATATTCGTTTCCACATAGATTTCTGGAAGCTCGTGAAGTTGCCGAAGCCAAACGGGCTATACACGACTTCGACCCGCCACGACGCCGTCTAGACCTAGTTGTTGGAGGGGTCGATTTTCCTGTTTCCCGGTCCCTTTAAACGGCTTTTGCGCGGTGAGTGGCTAATTTCGTGCGGCTTTCCTTTCGGACACCATTACTTTAGAATTTTACCAGGCTAGAGGGCAGCTAGCAACGATTATTATTGCGGAAATCTGAAACCTGGCGCGCCGCGTAGCTGTCGAGAACTAGGCGATCGAAAGGTGGATTTTTAGCTCTTGAGAGGCGCATTAAATGGTCTTGGCGTCGACTAGCAGATTCTCCAACTGAATTTTGGGACTTTTAACGCCTTCCAAATACCTTTAAATCGTGCTACGTGTCTACCAGGCTGCTCCTATCGAGGATGGAGATCATAGAACAACTTGGCCCTTGTCTGTGTTAACTGACTGGTGATAAGCGATCCCTTCTTCTCACAATCCACCCACCCAACACGAACAAGTGTCGCCCAACCCTCTAGAGGAGGACGAGGGAATGGATGGATGGATATATGGCATCGACTGGAGGGGAGGGGAGGAGGACAGGAAACAGCAAAAAATGGGGGGGGAGCATGGGTTGGAGGTAGAGAATAAACAACTTGCGGAAATGGAGGATGTCGATCAGGGGAATCCAGCAACGAGCAAAGATTATTGCGGCGGGAAAACATGACTGACTATTGCCACCGCCAAAAAATCCAGATTTTTCAATGGGGAGGGGCGATACTTCGGAAAAACCGCTTAAAATTGTATAAAAATAAAAAAATGATCAAAGAAAAACTATGCGATAATAACAAGAAAATAAATTAAAAATTTAGAATTAAAAGCGCAGCGTAAAGGTCTTTGAAATCGACGCCAAGAATTTATTGAGAAGCTCAAAACCTTGAAACCCTGAAAGCCGCCGAAATCGCCTAAAACTGCCAGAAACAAAAAAAAATTCCTGCGGCCATCATTTGGCTGCTGCCAGAGACCCATCACCGACCAAAAAGCCACCCGACCACTGGGGCTCACGCTCAAAATGCCGAGGACGATTGGTCAAGAGAGAGAGGAGCACGAATATGCACACGCTGTGTGTTGGCCGTGTGTAAAATGACAACAGGCACCACGAGATGGCAAACACACCACACACCTTGAGAATGAAATTAGCTGGTGGGGGAAGTATCCGAGTATTGAAAACTAGAAATAACCTAAAGATAGCCTATTTTTACAAAATAAAATTTTAGATGGAGCTTGGGAACTTAAAAAAATCACGCTCTTACAGCGCTAGCAAATTTAAAATTAGCCACCTAGCCGAAAAAAGGAAATTAGCCAATTTTTGTAAAATACCAGGTTCAAAGGCAAGTTCTGTAACGAGATTTTGAATATTTGGCCAAAATTGCAATATTGTCGTCGAATAGCTTATTTTTCTAATCTTTGCTCTGCTTTTGTGTGGTTGCGGTTTCCCGATGAGGATTCCGGACGGCCGATATACACGCCCCTAGAAGTGTTTCAAATTATCGCAAAAAGGCTTCCCTGGCTTCGCTGGGGGAAACGAATCGGACCACCGTTACCGTGCCAGAATGCTTAAATATGCTGGGTATGAAGAATAAACAGAAGAATTTTGATCAGAAGAATCTCGTTAAGAATTTTTGAACATTTTTTAAAAAAGTAAAAAACTTCGAAGAGGAAAATTACGGAACTTTTAATGGACTAGGGTTACATGAAGGATATCAAAATGAAGCTCTTGGAATGCGCTATCAAATGCATGGTAAACATTACCGATTGGTTTAACTAGCCGTCAATAGGAGCCTTCGGAAACTGCCCTGTCTCCCCCAACCCCGTAGCGATTTGGTGCAATCGGTCGGGCGTCGGCCTCTCACGAAAATTTTTGGACTTTTTGTCGGTTCGACCCACATACCTAGACTTATTTTTGCTTTTTGTTGTACCAAGCTAAATTGTTGTTTTACGTTGACTTTGTTGACATCTTGCTCAGTTTTCCAAGCGCTTTCGAATGAGCTGGGTCTCGTCCCAAAACTCCATTCACACTAAAAAAAGTCTCCTTGTAAGGATGCCGGAGGTCAGGCAGATGCCGTCCCTACGCTGGCATTAGTGTCACTCTGACGCAGATGCGATTTCAGCAGATGCCTACTACGGACTACAAGATAAGGATTCGGATTCATCTGATGATTCTGAAGAGATTCATTCAGACACTTCTTCGTTTCGGTTCCTTATTTATTTCCTAGTTTTCATTAACGCTCCCCTTCTCGAGTTCCACTTGTGACTTTATCAATTCAGGTAGCGTCATGCCATTCTTCGCGCAGCTCCGGTGCGACATCTCTAAGCTCTTCAACCGTGTAAGCGGCAAAGAAAGCAAAACAAAAGAACAGCGGCGAAATTCCGAACCCGGTCTGGAGTTGAAGGTAGGCGACTTGTAGACGACGTTTCTACAAAGTAATTGTCATTGCAACGAAAACCATTTCCCGAAAACCAAATAGCCGACAAAACCTTTCACTGAAAACGGCTACGGTTTACTTTATTTTTCGGTCCCAAATTTTTCGGTCCCAAATTTTTCGATATTTTCGCCATTTTGTCGAAATTTTTTGTGGCGCCATGCGAGTTAATATAGCAAAAACACAAATAACCTCTAAAAATGGGGTTAAAAAGCTAGTTTTCGATATTTTCGCTATTTTTACGACATTTTCGAAACGCCATTCGATGGAGCATCAAAAATATACTTAAGGTTTTAGTTTCAGCCTAAAATAACGCAATATAAAATATTTACAGCAAAAACAAGGTTTAAACGCGATTTCCTCATTGGATCGGCGGTGCAAAGCCAGTTTTCGACATTTTCGGCATTTTTCCAAAATTTCTTTAACTCCACCCGGTAGCGCGTCAAAAAATATATTAAGGGTTTTAATTAAAACCCAAAATCATGTAAATGAAATAGTTATGGAAAAAACAAGCAAAATACGAATATCCGCTCAAACACTATTTTAATTGTATAAATTTTAATATTTATTTTTTCGCAATTGCCGGCCAGGGAATAGTAGCTGGGACCGGGGGCTACCGATTGATAAAATTAAGAAATTTTTGGGACCTTCCGGCTGGCGGGGGGGGGGTAAAGTAAACTCTTGCACCTACCTACACCTCAGCCTACAAGGGATAGGTGTTTTTTGACCCATGTAGCAAACCTATGTGTCGACCTACATCAATCGATAAAGAATTGAAAAAAAGGTTAAGGCTTTGAAATTAGCTTTTCGGAACTCCATGTTAAAAGTTACTGGGTTCCTATTTTACCAAATTTCGTTTTCAAACGTTTTGTTTTTGCTTTCTGGTCCAAAAACCGCTTCGCGGCTTTTCAACCCTGGCCCCGTCTAGGAGCTATGAAAGTAATGGACTTTGCAGAATTCTTGCCTTCCCACGTCCCCCTCCACCGTGTGTGTGGTGGCCTAGTGCAGGTCTGGGGAAACTAACGAGGGTTCGCACCCGCTCACGATTTTTATTTTTATTTTGCTGTTTGGTCCAAAAGTCCCCCTTTGCTTTCTTAAGGCTCTAAATAACTTTTTAACAATTGATTATACACTAGGGCGCGCTTCCGGCAATAATATGGCTTCAAGGGGAATTTAAACAGTTTTCCATATTGGCCGGTGCCGGGGCTCATGCCTCTAACATTTTTCGAGGAATTGACAAAGCTTGGTCATCCTCTTTACAACCTTTTATCTTACGTCAAAAACCATCTCCTCCATTTTCAGATGCCATTCGACTTCGGCGCCCTCCCACTCGAAAATCAATTCGAAATCCTGCGCTACATGGATTTGCAGAGCTTCTTCAAAACGGCCATTTCAAGCAAATCGATGCTGCAGCTGGCCCAGAGATGCCCGAACAAACGGTGGAAATGTGATATTATGCATCGCGCGAGAAAAGGAGACTTCGAGTTCTGGCGACACCCTAGTCCTGGGCCGCTGCCCAATAACTACAAAGCCATGCAGTTGCTTTTCCATAATTCGACTGTTGACGGGTTGAACCCCGACACCCTCCCTCATGAAGAAATCAATATTCGTTGCCAAAGGCTGTGGCTGAATCTGAACAGATCCGAACCTTACGATATATTGCCGTATCTCAAACGTCATAAGCCGTTGTTCGGGAAATATAAATGGGTCTCTGCTCTTCGACAATTTCCACCCTCCAGAGAAACGCTGGATTTTCTGAATGCATCGACGGATGCTGTGTCGGCCACACTCTGCGCCCCCCTATCGGCATATATTCATCTGAAGGTGACTGGGATGATCCTTGATGCGCCCATGGACTCCGGCGAATCTCTGGCGGCCAATACTGAAGTGTTGATCCGAGAATGGCTCCGTGGCGAACGGCAGATTAGCCCGCTTATAGAGCTTAGGAGTTTCGATACGGAATTGAACCCCATCCACCCGGTCTTCTTTACGCGTCATCCGAAACTCTACGTCGCGAAGGGGGACACCACTTATTATCGCGTCCGCCGGAACGATGGCAAGGTGATGATTGCCAGATTTTCTCTGTCGAGGTGGTCCATCAGCATTGCGCCGCCCGAATACGCTAAATTCTGGGAATCTCCAGATAATGCCGAGTTTTACAAATTCCTATTCGGTGCCGAATAAATATTGCCTCAATCGCTCGAGCCGATAAATTTACACATCTTTGCATTGGATAATTTTCGCAAAAGCCCAGTAGCTCGCACCTTATATCGGACGATGAAAATGAACAGATAACAGTGACAGAACCGAAATAGAGCTCCAGGCACTTCAAACGAGTTTTTATGGAAAATTGTATTTTATGCGAAACTCGAAACGGCGTTTTCGCCCCCAAGAACTATTCGGCGTTACTCAAAGGTCTTACGTTTTTTTAGCAACGAAATCACTTTTCTGGGTCTTCTCGGCAGTCACCCTTTCGTTTTTTGACCAGTTGTAATCCCCGCGTACACACATTTTTACTTCCAAGCCCCTTTAACCAACGCGCATCTCAGGAGGTGATATTTTATGATTAGACTCCAGTTTACCCTCCCCCCGCACCCTTGATCGATTTTGAGATAATCAAAATTGGACACTGCAAGGCCGAGTTACGGCCCATTGCTTAGGACGTTCTGGCTTGAACGGTTTCCACCAACGGGTGAAAACAATTGATTCATTCATTCATGATACTAAATAAAGGATTCCTTCCAGACTTTTTAATTATGAAAATTGATTAGAGGATCACCGAGCACAACCGCCCATGGGTTTGATCCAGATGGCCACCGGGAAAAGGCGTACTGTACCTATTTTGACCTGGAGCGCGCAATAGCAACAGGTTTTTAGCTGTCGGGGCCTGCTTTCGCAATCGCGCGCGCGCGCGGCGGTCTATCCTCAATACAAAAATGCCGGAAGTTTTATTAGAAGCCGGGCCGCTGTGGCGAGATTGAGGGATTGGGTCCCCTACAAAGGATTACGACATGTAATCGCCGCGCACTCTAAATGTAGTTTTCGCCCCCAAAGCATTTCAGTTTTTCTCAAGTATTTTACGTTTTCCGCAACAAAGTTAATTTTCTGGCACGTTTCGGCGGCAATCCATTCGTTTTGACGAGTAGGTTCAATCCCCAAACACGCAAACTTTGACTTCCGAGCCCCTTTAGACACCTACAGGCAAGGGGGCATAACCCCGGCGCTGACCCTTCCTGACCCCTTTAAGCAAGTGATGCCTAATCCAACATCGCTCATCCAACTACCGTATTCCATTTCACTAAAACCCTTGCGCCCGCAGGGAATTTCGCGGTTGCAGTTCGATATCTTACTAGTGCTTAACTTTGGTCCTGGCATTTTTTTAATTTTAAATCATTCAACATTTCCTTGCTTGTGGCGCTACGTCCAGAAACTTTTGAATGTCAACCAGGGAAAATTCCCGCTAAGGATGCCGAGGTCAGACAATATGCCGTCCCTCCGCTGTCATTAGTGTCACCCTGATACAGATGCAATTTCAGCAGATGCCTACTATGGACTACAAGATAAGGATTCGGATTCATCTGATGATTCTTAAGATATTCATTTAGACACTTCTTAGTTTCGGTTCCTTATTTATTTCCTGGTTTTCATTAACGCCCCCCCCCCCCCTCTTTGAGTTCCACTTTTGACAGTAGCTGCGCTTTTCATTGCGATTTACCATTGTTTATTTTTCGTCTCTCTATCGAATGGCATTTTCAAAATATTGAAAATGTTCAAACAGTCCCCCCCCCGTTATCCTACGTCCTGCCCATAGTTTTCAAAGATGGTTTTTAGGTAACAACTTTTATAGTACATTTTTTCGCGTTACAAAAAATCTCCTAGTATATTTTTTGGCGTCTTCAAAGTATCGAAAATCTAAAAATGTGGATTTCCTCCGTTATCCTAGGCCCTGCCCATAGCTTTTATCGGTTTTTGTTTGTTCAATAAAAATTTCCATTACATTATTTTGGGCTGAAATTCATTCTCTTAGTATATTTTTCGACAATCGTGCAATTGAAAATTTTACAAGATACAGGGTGTCCCAAAACCCCCCTCTAGAGGCCGTCAATCGGATCGGATCGGAATGATTTTTATACCAATCGAAAGCTCTCGGAAAGGCGAGAAAACAAGCGGGTTTCGTTTTCTAAGATTTAATCGGATTCTATCGATATTTCAGGTTTTCCTAAAAAGCCGGGAATTTTTCATCAAGAATTTCGCAATTAGCATGCAGATCTCGCATATATCAGCAGTTTTCATGGTTTTTGGACATAAAATCAGCAAATAAAAAGGCTTAATTAAAAAATTCAACCCTCCTTGTTTTCTCGCCTTTTCGAGAGCTTTCGATAGATACCTAACTCGTAAAAATCGGAATCGATTGCGGACCGCTAGGTGGGGGGTTTGGGACACCCTGTAGGGTCCCCCCGTTATCCTATGTTTAGCACCCGAGCTCTTGCTCTCTAACTCCCTAACCGCTTCTCTACCGCTATCACTAAAATATTCCAGAAGGCCGTTTCTGTTATATTTATCTACACCATTAACCGTATCCTCCATTTTCAGATGTCATTCGACTTCGGCGCGCTCCCACTCGAAAATCAATTCCAAATCCTGCGCTACATGGATTTGCAAAGCTTCTTCAAGACGGCTATTTCAAGCAAATCGACGCTACAGCTGGCTAAGAGATGCCCGAAAAAACGGTGGGAATGCGATATTATGCATCGCGCGGAAAAAGGAGACTTCGAGCTCCGGCGATTCCCTGGTGCTCGATTCCTGCACATAAACTACAAAGCCATGCAGTTGCTTTTCCATAATTCGACTGTTGACTGGTTGTACCCCGACACGCTCCCTCATCAAGAAATCAATATTCTTTGCCGAGAGCTGTATCTGAATCTGAACAGATCCGAATCTTACGATATATTGCCGTATCTCAAACGTCATAAGCCGTTGTTCGGGAAATATCGATATGTCTATGCTCCTCGACAATTTCGACCATCCAGTGAAATGCTGGATTTTCTGAATGCATCGACAGATACGTTGTGGGCCACACTCTGCGCCCCCCTATCGGAATATATCCATCTGAAGGTGCCACGGATGACCCTTCAAGCGCCCATGGACTCCGGCGAATCTTTGGCGGCCCATGCTGAAGTGATAATCCGGGAATGGCTCGGTGGCGAATGGCCGATTAGCCCTGATATAGAGCTAGAGAATTTCCAAGCGGTATTGAACCCCATCCACCCGGTCTTCTTTACGCGACACCCGAAGCTCTGCATGGCGAATCGGGACACCACTTATTATCGCGTCCGCCGGAACGATGGCAAGGTGATGATTGCCAGATTTTCTCTGTCGAGGTGGTCCATCAGCATTGCGCCGCCCGAATACGCTAAATTCTGGGAATTTCCAGATAATGTCGAGTTTGACAAGTTCCTATTCGGTGCCGAATAAATATTGCCTCAATCGTTTGAGTCGATAAATTTATACATTTTTACATTGGATAGTTTTCGCCATGCCCTGTAGCTCGCACCTTATGTCGGGCGATGCAAATGAAAAGTTCACAATGACAGTACCGAAATAGCACATCTCCCGACACTTCAAACGTGATTTGCTGGCAAATTGAGTTTTGTGCGAAACTCGAAACGGCGTTTTCGCCCCAAAAGCTTTTAGGTTTTACTCAAGGTCTTACGTCAACGAAATTATTTTTTTTGGGCCTTCTCCGCAGTCATGCTTTCGTTTTTTGACCAGTTTCAATTCCCGTGCACACAAATTTTGACTTCCAAGGCCCTTTAACCTACTCGCATCCCAGGAAGTTATTTTTTGAGTGCAGTTCCAAATTGCGAGCGGAAGTTGTACCCGATCCTCTCCGAATTTCCACTCTAGCCGCGCGTGCCCACTCCCGGTCGATTTTGTGATCGGCCGGCCCAGCAACAGACACACTCCCATTATTTGTCGGCCGAGACCGAGAGATCAGTCCCCCATTTTGCGTGTGCCTTTCCCTTTCGACATGCATTTTGAGTCATCGCTGTCGCCAGCCTTAGTGATTTCAGTTCAGCTTTTCGCTCCGCATTTGAAAAGTTTCTGCTTATTGCTGTTTACAAATGGTTTTGTTTAGTTTTCCCATCACATATAGAATTTTCTGAAAATTTTGCACAAATGTGTTTAGTTAAAAAGGCTAATCTTCACTTTACCCCTCCCCCAGCCGGCAGCTTTTGTCTATAACTTTTGATTTTACATTGTTGTGGGCTCAAATTAAAACTCTTAGTATGTTTTCGACGTTTTATCGAATGGCGTTGCAAAAATCCCGACAAAATAAGCGAAAATACCGAAAACTTTGAGCCCCTTCGGCTGGGGGGGGGACAGTAAAGTAAAGTCTTGCCGTTAAGAAGATTCTATTATTAAAGGTTTGTATGATTGAACTCCAATAATGCTTCAAAAAGATTCCAACAAAATCGATTACGCTATTTTGACGTGTAAATCGTTAGAAGATCCTCTAAAAAGCACCTTGTAGCGCTATCAGCTAACAACAGGCAAAATTTCTAACTTTCCTCGAAAAGTCGCCATCAGATTTATCTATCGAAAAGGGCTGGTTTTCGCTTGACTATCTGCCTTGAAATAAGCATTTCTCTCCGTATGTAGAAAGCCGCCAGGACAAATAGGACACAAGTCAGAGCTCGGGAGCAAATAGTCAGAGGTCAGTCAGAAATGCCTTTTCTCTCGATCGTTTTCTCCGTTTTGCAACTTTTTCCTGCGTCCAAATTTTTCAAATATGAATAGGGAAGGTGTTTTTTTACAGTTTTTATTCTTAAAATAAAACGTACAAAAATGCAAATTTACAACAAATGTACAACAAAAAAAAAATCGATTTTTTGACCAAAATGGCAGATTTTCTAAAAAAACCTAAAATTTTAGGACGAAATAAAAAAATGGTTATTCCATTTAAAATGTGGTGACTATTAATTAAAAACATTATTGAAACACTTATTAACAGGTTACTAGGAATTTCTGGGCTTACGGGTAAAATTAGACGGTTTTTCGCTCGACTCGCAGGCCTTTTCCCTCAAAAAAACTAGATCTACGTTTAGTTAAACCTATCGTGAATACTCTATTGATTTACGTTCGAGTTTTCACCGTTTAAGTTTTCAATTTTTAGATTTTTCTAGCTGCCGACGTTTGACGGGATCTCCAAAATATGAACAAATCGACCCTGGGGCCCAGCGTCAGCTTTTTGCCTGTAAGCCACTCCCCTGAAATCATATCTCCCTCTCTTCCCGGCTACCGTAACCCACCCCACTACTTTCAGGATGATTCCGGCTGCGTGATTTGTGAGGGCCCCGCCCACGGCTTCCATTTCGGTGTGCCCGCCTGCCGAGCTTGTGCCGCGTTCTTTCGAAGGTACCTTACCGTGACCGCTTGCGGTACTGGTCTGTTAGCGGGGGGGATCCAATTGGTGCTTTCCGCAAATACCTGTTAACAATATGAACTGGATTTTATAGTGTTTTTAGCAGTTTTTGATTGCTATGAAGTCATAAAAAAATTTTAAATACTCGAAGTTCGAAAATTTTAACATTTCTCCGACGTTGGCAAATTTTTAAAAACTTCTTGCATCTAAAAACCGTGCAAACCCCTTTCATAAAAAAAAAATTAAGGAGCTACGTCCTTGGCCGAGACTACAAATGCAGGAAACAAACCGGTCGCTGTAATATTTCCAAAGGTATGTTAATAAGCGTCAGAAACATGTTTCTTTCTCGTTAGATACTCGATACCTCTGCCGTGGCTGTCGGCTCGAGAAGTGTATCCGGTTGGGGATGACGCCTGAAAGTAAGGAAGTGCGGTACTAGACTATTAGCCGGGGTGAAATTTTTAGAAAGTGATACAGATCTTCTTAAATTTTGAAAATTCGAAGACGTCGACCTTTTTGGTCAATTTTGATATTTTTGCTGCGAAAACGTAAAAATTTTAGAATTCTTTTTAATTTTTAGGAGTTTTTGTTTCTAAAACCTGTTTAAATTGCAATAAAAGCGTTTATATTTTAAGAATACGGGATTACTGGTAAAATTGGTTCCTCCCCGCTAATAGCCTAGTACCGAAAATGCCATTTTTTCGAATATGCTATCCCGATAGATGTGCAATACGACAAGGAGACCGCACCAGCACCCCCAAAAATGCGCCCACAAAAGGATGAAAAGGGGGGGAGGCTCGTGGGATTACCGGAAACGTCCGGAACCCCGGAGAAGCACTTCACGCCCTACTATGCAAAAGAGGTGAAGAATGGTTTATGGAAAAATTCCTGATTTTTAGGACCCACCAGAAGTTAAGGCTAAAACCTGTGCGGAAGTGGATCGAAGGACCAAGCAGGTCGAGGAGATTTTGAACGCAGTATGGTTTTTAGTTTTTTAATTCTTAAAAAATGAAAATTTGACATTTTGAACAGGGCAAAACAGGCATGAGCCGAAAAAGGTTCTTCTCTGTTAACGGGGGTAGGGTGGGGCAGGTAATTTTATATTACTTTTTAGCCTTTACCCGTAAATAATATTTAATGTATTTTCAAAGTGTTTTAGTCGTTTAAAAAAATTATGTTGCAAAAAACCGATAATTAAAAAAATGTTTTTATTAATTTAGAATATTTTTAGGGATAGAAACTATGCAAAATCCTATAAAAAATTGTCTATATTTCGTTATAGAGCCGTTATTGGAAAAATTGATTCCAATCCCCCCCGTTAATAGAGAAGAACCCCCGAAAAGTAACGAGTGCGAAACCTAGTCCGCGACTTTCCAAAGCTAAACTTCTTTCAGAATCCGCCACCCCTGGATACCCCATTCCACTTGACGGCTCTCCAGAAGATGTTGATCGCGACGCAAAAGTTGCGCACCAACATCAACCCCAATCCGACGGTGATGACACAAATCACCCTCTTTAACGGATTCCATCGATATTGGGAAAGAATGATGGAAGGCTGGGCAAAGTGGATGATGCATTGCGATGAATTCGCGCAATTGGACCTCGACCAGAAGGTAGCCCGGTGCTTTGGCATTATCAGGGGAGGGCACGCTTTTTCTTTGGGCTCTAATTTTTCTAATATAAAAAGCGGCAAACAATTTTTTACTATTCTTAAACGTAAAAACTTTACACATTTTTACTTAAAAAATGCGAAACAATCGCAGTTTCGACTAGGCTTTTCGGAATTTTCACCGATTGTCGACAAAACGACAAAAATCTTAAAGTTTGTGGATGGTGTTGTTTTATTTCAGGTGAAATTTATTGAACCGATTCCTAAATGTAAAAGATCTAGTAATTTTATTAAAAATTTGGAAAATATAGACCCCCCGGCCGCCCAAAAACCCCCCCCAAAAAAAAACACACCTTTCTCCCTCTTTAGTTGAATTTTTCAGCAAAAACCAAAAATTTCAATAGTTTTCCGCAGGAAATAGCTAAGCTAAGTTTTAACAAAAACAAATTATTATTGCGCTACCCAGGGCTTTAAAAAACACTACTCTCCCACCCCCCCGATAATGCGAAAGCACCACTTAGAAAAAAGAGACGCTGCTGTGCACAGAGGCGCCAGGCGTAGTCAGTCCGTGGGCAGCGTGGAGCTTTTTGTCCCAATTTGACAATTTAAACTTACGTTTCAGAGACTCATCCTCAAAAACACGTGGTCCTCCCTGACCCGCCTCGACAGAATCTCAATTTCCATTGATGCCTTTGGTGAGGAGGCAGTCACGAAAAGGGTGCGCTATCGAAAAGCCAATTTTACCTATTACTTCAGAAATGCTACACTACAAAAGATCACTGTATCACACGGGATACGGTATTCGACACATCCGCTGTCAGTACCCTCGATAATCAAGAGCTGTGCAGGTATTTCGAAATTTTTAGCTCTGCAATCGATCTTTTTTCCAGCTCGGTGGCTCCAGTTATTGAGCAGCTTTTTGAAGAGGTGGCACGCCCATATCTCAACCTAAAAGTCACACAATTTGAGTTTGTCTTCTTGGTGTCGTTGACGATGTGGAATGTTGAGAGTAAGTTTTTATGGTTCTTCTCTGTTAACGGGGGTGGGTAGCAGGGAAACTAATTTCCCCCCCAGAAATTCCGTACGGCCCTAGAGCGAATAAACAGCTTCTATAGCATTTTACACAGTTTTGAGGTATAAAGAGCTCAGTAAAAACATATAAAAAGAGCGACAATTTCGAATTTTGATCGAAAATGGATGAAAAACAAAAAGAAAAAAGTCAAAACGTTCAAATTTTGAAAATTTTTCAAATCATTTTTATAACTTTTGGGGATCAAGAACTACTAAAAAATATAAAACATATTATTTCTTAATAACAGGTATAGGTGGAAGCATAAAAACTAGCTTTGCCCATTTAAACACCCCCCCCCTAACAGGGAAACCTCCAACATTCTCAAAAATTTCAGTAATGCTGAATTGCATAATCGTAAGCACTTTCATAGAGATTTTAGTACAATTTAATTAGATTTCAAACGAAAAACGATAAAAACTTTGCAGGAGAATCGGCCATTTTTCGTCGGAAAACGTTATTTTTGTATTTTTTAGATAAATAAGAAAGGCTCCTACGTTCAAGAATAGTAAAAAAACGTTCTAGAAAGAACTCAGCATTCTATATTTAAAAAAAGTTGGATCCTAAGAAAAAAATTGCCTCCCCCGATTTTGCAAAAAAAAAATCTATTTTCATGCTTTTTTCTAGCATGGGGTGTCTCCGAGACGACGTTACGCACCGCAGAGTCATTCCGCGAGCGAATCTCGAACGAGCTACACGACTACTATGTACACTCGATGAATGTGCCCAACTATGCCGATCGATTGCTTTCCCTAATCTCTATCGCCAGGGCCAATGAGGTGGGTGGAGACGAGAAAAAGTATAAAACCGAAAACCCGTTCAGAAAGTGCAACAATCACGAGGGGATCTGCTCCAGATCTTCCGGCTATTCGACCTGCTTCGCATCGACTTCCCGCCCCACGAATTGTTTGACTGGAAACGGATGTGAATCTCATGGATTTGAGCTTGTTTCGCAAATACGAGGTCTAAAAATAAACGGTTTTGAGTCTAATGCATAAAAAACGTGTTTATCCGTTTAAACCTAAAAACAAAAAACAAGCAAAAAAGAGCACAAAAAACCTTGAAAACCCGTATCCCTAAAAAATTAACCCCTTGATGCCATTAGAAAGTTACCTCTAACGTGACGCGTTAAATACTGTCCCGATTGCCAAAAAAAATTTAGAAGGGTACAAAACAAGGCTTTTTACTACTTTTTTACTTTTTATAACCAAAAACCCTTAAAACCCGCTTAAGACGGCCAGAGAGGGTCAGGAACCGCTGTGAAATCAAGCCCGAAAATCTATTAGCATGCTTACAATGCGCTTTTAAAAAAGCTATTCATGTCTAGCATAAAACCCGCCTAATTTGCCCAAGTACCAAAAATTCTAGGAGGGACCCATAAGCGACATTCGATTGTAAACCCGCCAAAAGATACCAGAGATGCCGAAGCCGATGAATTATTCGATTTCCAGAAAAAATGGAACATTTCGTACGAAATATTTATCAATGGCGTTCAGATAAATTAAAAGGCATAACAAAGGGAACTAATCAAAATCAGAATCAAAATCTGAATCGTCTTCGTCATACATCCAATCGTCCGGAACGTCCACAATGCGAAGCAGACTGTCGCGAGGCATTTCGCACCGGAGAACTCTGCTGTAGCCATCGTCGAAAATGTTACGTGTGCGTGGCCCAACCGATTTGCCGCCAACTTCGAAAGAATCAACGATCCCCCGTCCAATTTTGATTACCAAGGCGATTCCGCCGAGCTTTCCCTCCATCCACTGCGCGTAGAGCTGCTGGCACATCAGGGCGAGCTGTGGTGTTACATTCTCTCCCTTGGCGTCGAGAAGAATCTTTAGCGTAGTAAATTTCCATTCCGGGATGTAGCTCAACCATTCGACTGTCACCGCGCCGATTTCCAGCCGCTCGACATTTTTCAGCACCCTCGGGAGTTCCGGATTCGAGTTGAAGGCTTCAGCACTCCACAGCGGGAAGACGACTTTCTTTGGCTGCCACTTCTCGATCAGTCCAGCGCATTTGTCGGCATTTTCCTGTAGCCCTTGGAAGATCAACTGATCCACACTCATATTCGGGGCAATAGGCGTCTGTACGTCGTATAGGAGATCGACCACGAATGCGTCCGCCAATAAAAAGTCTGCCTCGCCAGGAGTCCAAGTTAAGCCGTCGCGATAGGACCATCTCCGGCAGTCACCGAGCAAAACGGAACACTCAACCTGCTCCGGAAAACACTCAACCTTCTGGAAACGCTTGCCCTTCAGGTTCGTTGTAGCGCGCACGAGATTGGGATGGCATTTGGCGACTGACAACATGTCATACACGTCAAGTGGCTTCAGGATCGGCAACAGCAGATCGTAGGGAAGGTCAAACAGCTCCTTGTTGAATCGAGGGTCCTTCAAAAGAAGCTCCGCGTCTCGGCCATTAAAGGTTTCGTAGTCGATGATGTTAGTGCCTTCGCTACGATGGACGACCTCCCATTTCTTGCCGGGCCACAGAGCGACGTGCTTTCGAAGTATTGGGTGAGAATTGGCCGTCTCGCAAAGGCTACGAGCATCCAGCGGTCCGAACACCTCGTACATCAAATCGGCAGGCAGGTCGAGTAGGCCCTTCTCAACGGTAGGCGCGTGGTCCTTAATATCCATCGCTTCAAGCTTGTCCAAGAATTCTTGCTCCATTCGTGCAGACGTGCCTGGAAAAGGTGAAATTAGTTTGTTAGTTTGTTAAATATCACGTATTGCTGAAAGAATCACGTTCAAAGCACTACTGCAATCAACTATTCTATATGAATCCCATTTTCCCAGCCAAGTAATTAGCGCAGCGGGCCTGTGGGCTAGAAAAACCTTGTGAATTGCATTCATAAAAAAGCGCGCTATACTAATAATCTAACTTCTTTTATTTTAGCAGAACCCTGTCACCTAAAAGCACCAAAAGCTGCCAAAAAGTTAACGGATCTTGCAGCCCTAACGAAGCTTCAGCTCTTTAAAATAAGAGAAATATTTCAGTTGCATATTTTGCAGTTTCACGCGCAAAAATCCAGCGAAACTACACGCAACACGGCTTCAAAACGTGGGAAAAGGCCTCCAAATTATCGCTAAATCGCCTCCAAGTCACATAAGCCAATCCGCAGCCAATCATAAGCCAAAATCTTCCAACGACAAGCCACCGCCTCGAAAATGCAACCGCAAATCCTGATTTCCACACAATTCGGCAAGCAAACAACTTTATGGCATTAAAATGCCTGTGAAAAGAAGAGAGAACATTCGAAATAAGCACCTGCATACAAAAGAAACAACAAAATAAGAAATGTCAACGATGGAAAAGGCAAAAAAATATGCTTGTCATTTGTTGAGGGCGTGCAGGGCGTCGTGGACGTGGTCAGCGCCGCTCATTGCTTCCAGCCGCGAGCCTGAAAATTGAGAGATAAAAACGATAAAAATAAAAATAATTTTAAACTAATTAAAAATCTACAAACCTTGATGAGGGCTTCAATGACACGGGCCTGATCGACGAGGCCGACCTTCCGGTAGTATTCGAGCCACTTGTGAGCGTCGTCGGGTTGTGGGCCGTACTGATCCTGGAAAACAAATATATAAAGTTTTCTAATAATAATTCTCACCGCTGAGGGGCTGCGGAAATTGAGCGGAACCGGCTGCATGTCGTTCAACCACGGCGGCAGAAAGGCACGTGCTGAAAAATGCAGTTTAAAATTTAATGAAAACTACGTTAAAAAGATCTCAATAAAACATCAGTAAATTTAAAAATAGAGGCGAAATAAAGCGAAAAATTACAATAAAAACGGACCTTTCGCATTATCGAAGGATCAAATTATTTTTTGCAAATCTAGAAGAATAAAATCCTTTTTATTAAATTGCTAGACATAGTTTTTAGTAGAATAGAACTACAATTCAACCAGAAACTATTCAAAAACTTTTTTGAAAAGTATTTTGCAAAAAATTCTATATTTTTCTATTTTTAATTAAACTGGTAAGGTTTTAACTTTTAAGAATAGTGATAACCAGTTTAGAAACACCCCAATAACGCGAAAGCCGCCTAAAAACGTACGCTGCATTGCCGAGGCCGCGTCGTCAGCCCACGGATTCAGCTCAACCGTCTCAATTGCCAGCTGGGCCAGCTGCTCGTCGGTGGGGATGTAGGGCTTGTCGGAGGCCTAAAAACAAGTTTTTAACCGGAAAGCAGTAGTTTTACCGCCTTTTGACAAATCTCCTTGGCCTGCTTGACCTCGTCGGCCGTGCCGGTGATGCTGAAGAGGCGATACGGCTTGCCCTCGTCGTCCCAATTGCCGCCCAGACGGATTTCCGCTCCAGTGACGGCTTTAATCTGAAAAAAAGATATTTGACAGGCTTAATCAATTAAAATATACCGACGGAATGGCCTTGACGAATTGGCCGACACGAGCGTTCGGCACCTCGACGAAGAGGGTCTCCTCGGTGCCAATCTGGCTGCTGCGCGACCGTTCCTTGCAGAATTGGTGGAAGGCCAACGTCGCCTAAGCATCAAAATTTTTAAAGAATCTGAAAATGTATACCGTTTCGAGGTCGGCCTCAGTGCGGGACCAGACGTGGGCGATGCGCGCGGCGCCGCAGCTGCTTTCTGAAAATTCAAAATCGAAAGGCCATATCTAAAAAACAAGCTTTTTAACGCTAAAACTGGTCTTCTTCAGTTCCAAAAAATACAAATTTAGGCCTGCGCAAAATAAAGAATTATAATTACGCAATTTTAAGCGCCAAAAATCCAAAAACGAGCTGCTTCCTGGCAATTAGAAAAGCCGTTGTAAAAAATTTAGGTTTTACGGATATGATTAGCTTTGAAATCCAAAACTACGACTCTAGCTTTGCGCAAAAAAAAAGAGAATTTACGTGATTTTCGACGCACAAAAAACCCTAGTTCAATTTGTAAGAAAATAAGAATTTAATCTTAGACGGCAACCAAGAAATCGCCCGAAAAATCGATACCATTCTCCTTGACGGTGATCTTGCTGTTGGCGTCGGCGGCGATGCGCCTCAACATGGCGCCGCACGTCTCGATCACCGGGCCGAACTCGTCCTGCGGAACCGGGATCTAAAAAAATGTTTGAAAACTCAAATGAAGGTCATACCTGTCGATAAAAGTCGAATCCGGGGACGGTGGCCATTTCCTTGACGTCGTTGCAGAGGGTCTTCTGGATTGATGGCTGCTGCTGTGGCGAGGGCGGGGATCGTGCTTCTTCGCTGGTGACGCCCATGCACAGCACGTCGTAGATCTCGCGCTTCGCGTCGGCAATCTAAAAAGGATCTAATAAAACAAATCTGGAGCTTGGTAGCGATTAAAAAAAAGTGAAAAATTACCGCTTGCTCGCTTCCGATGATTCTGCACGACACCTCGCCTTCCCGCCGCGGCCGATCGGTCAGCACGTCGATTTGCGCGCCGCTGCGAGCCTAACAAAGTACTTTCAAGAATTTCAAAGTCCACACCTTGATGCCCTTGATGGTGTCGCCGTTGGTGCCGATGACGCGCGGAACCCTGTCGGCGGGCAACGTCACCCAGCCCACCGATCTGTTGGATGTAACCTAAATCGAGTAATTAGGACATTTTATCAAAAAAATAGGTTCTTTCGCAATATCGGGGGGGAGCGACATTTTGCAATCTTGTTTACAACAAAATGTCTAGCAACTTAGAAAGAGCTTTCATAGTTTTTAGTAAAACTAAACTATATTTTAACCCGACAATTCTTTAGGAGAAATTTTGATCGAAAAATCGACTTTTTTGTACTTTTTTATCAAAACTTGCAAGTTTTTACCCCGAGAAAGAGTGAAAATAGTTTAGAAACACTGGAAAAAGTCGACCCCCACGGTAATGCGAAAGAACCAAAAAATCTTTACAAAATCGCACCTCGATGACCTGCGGCTTGGCGAGTTCAATGGCAGCTGCGGGCCCGCGCAGCGTCACCTCGCGAAAATCGGGCGCGTCCGGGCAGGCGTATCTTTCAATCTAAAAAAAAAGAAATTAAGGCAAAAAAAGTAATTTCTTACGTCAATTTTGTGAAGTCCGCACTCCCTCCCGATGCGCCGGATTGTCTCGCCGTGGTGGCCGATCAGCAGGCCGACATTCCGGTGGGGTACGCGCAGCTTCAAGGAGGTCATTGTGCCCGCCGTATCGACCGACGTCGACAGCCGTTCGTATCCGGCTGCCATACCTGAAAATCGTCAAAATTAGTGGTTTTTCTGGAAAAATAAACATGAACATGGAAAAGAATGATCGTAAAGAAAGAGAGGAGTTATTAGGAATTGCCACAATAATAATCTGAGCCAAGCAATGCTAATAGAAATGAAAACAACGAAAGGGAAAGAGAATCGGGCCATTTATTCACATTTAGAGGTTTTTCGCATAATCGGGGGGAGAGGAGCAACTTTTTTAGGGGTCCAATTTTCCAATATAAAGCCAGGAAGTGTTTCTAAACGGATTTTACTATTAGTAAACGTAAAAACTTCACAAATTGTGATGAAAAATGTACAAAAAAAATAGATTTTTTTTCCACCGAAGAACCCGATTTTCGAAAATCTCGACTAAAAAATCGTCCACGTTGTTTTTAAATGACTTCGCACTTCACATATGGCCAAATTTCGCCAACGAAACAATTAAAGCAATCATTATTACGTTACTGGGGATTTCTAGGCTTACGGAAAAAACGGATCCCCTCGATAATGCGAAAGAACCCTAATAGACCACAATTTGCAGGAATTTGTCTGAAAATGCGATTTTCAAGGTTTTCTGATCGTCCCGCTTGATCACGGCGCTCCATGCTCGGCCGTCGTCGTGCTTGAGGGGAAAATTGGGCCCCAGACAAGTCGCAGCAATCCTTGGATCGAGTGGCAGCGGATAGGGGAACTCGATTCGAACTTGACGGAGGGCCCGTCGCCCGCTTTTCCACTGGTTGTGCATCTCCTGGACGACCGTCAGCAACTCGGTGGGGATCCGGCCATCTGGATCGCACAGAATGGCGTCGAGCCCGCCGATTCGCCACTCCAGCATGTGCTTCAGCTCGTCCACACGAATATAGCCCAGATGGGCATTGCGGAGATGCCGAGAGTTGCGCAGGTAGCGTAGCATCCGGTCGGTCAAGAAGTGCGCGTCGGCACGGCTCGGGATCGTCACCTGGAAAACCAAATTTCAGAAAAAAAAGAGTAAAGAACGCTTTTTTTACGACGATGTTCTCTAGGGGGCTTCAAAAAGCTTAGAAACAGGTCCCGCTGATAGCTTTTCCAAAATGCACGACGCTCAATTCGAATGTAACTGAACGATTTGGTATTACAAAAACCGCTAAATTTTCATTATTAATTCTCGTGGTTTTAAAAAGTAGATTTCAACTCGTTTAGATAAAAACACTCAGATTTGACAAAAAAAGATCAGTAATCGGCAAACAAAGCTTAATTAACAATAGACTAAAAGTACCAAAAGATTTACTGATCAAGTAAAACAAATATTACCTCGCAGGGATCCAAAGCTTTCGCCAATTTCGCCGCATTCCTCGCATCCTCATCGCGGCCGCAAAACGTCAGAAGCTGCACGCGAAGGCCAACCGCATTCGGGGGTCGAGCGCCCAGATCGTGCGCCATCCAGCGCACCTTTGCGCCCATCAGCAACACGTCCGCCTCATCGAAAGTCCACGACCAGGGCATTCGCAGCAACGAGGGCGCCTCGCGATGTGTGAACGTCACCTTGTCGCGTTGCCAATCCACGCAGTAGAAGCTCTTGTTTTTCATTAGCCGCGTGGCCTCGAGCAGATTTTGGTGTGATCTGGCCACTTCCAAGAAGCTGTTCTCATCGAGGTGGCTCATAATACTGCCCAGGATGTTTGGCGGGAGTTCCGGAAGTATGAGCGGATCTTCATCTACCGCCAAACCTTGGTCGCGGAAATCTGCCTCCAGATTTCGCAGCAGCACCTCGGCCTCCTGGCGGTCAAAAACGTCGTAGTCGATGATGGCCACCTCTTTTGATAGATGGACGATTTCCCAACGCTTCGTCGGCAAATTCATGACGTGTTTGTGCAGAATTGGGTGCGATTTGGCCGTTTCGAGCAGACTACGCGCATCCAGCGGGCCGAACACCTCGTGCATCAAATCGAGCGGCAGGTCGAGCAGTCCTTTCTTGGCTTCAACGTTTTGGCGCTTGTCACGTGTTTCTTGCCGGTCGTGATGAAGAACGTCAGCCATTTCTTTCCTGAAAAACAGTAATGAGTTTGAGTTGAGGGGAAAATTAAGCAGAAGCAAATTGCCGATAAAAAAGGGCAAACTCTCGTACATCAGCTTGGCCGGCAGCTCGAGTAGCCCCTTCTCCACGGTAGGTCCACGGTCGCCGAGATCCATCCGGCCAAGCTTCTCCACAACCTGTTGCTCCATCCGCCAGAGATGCCTGGAAAAAGGAGGCGATTATAGGGAAATGTTGATAGAGATCATCGAAATGGAAAGTGAGAAAAGGACAGAAAGGCGGAAAAAAAGCTTCTCCCGATAAATTTTTGGTTTAGCTTTTTTTCAGCTGCGCTTGTTTAGTTTTTTTGGAGTTTTTTTAGCGCAGTCAACTCTAAACGCCGGACAAATTTGCCAATCCTCAGAAGCAGCCATTCCCACATTGGAAACAGAAACGCAAAAGCCGAGAAAATCGGATTTATGGGCAAACTGAACGATTTCTGCGAAATATTTATCAACAATGTTCAACAAAATGAGAAGGCATAACAAAGGGAAAGCGATGCTACCAGTCATAATCCCAGTATTCGGCTCCATTATTCATATTGGGATAATCGTCATAATCGTAGTAATTTGCGGTGTCGCAAAAGTCAACTTCAGGCCGGTCGTAATCGCCAGCAAAATAGGAGTCATAATCAGGGCTCGAATCAGAGTCATCTGCCCTGGGAATAAGCGCCCTCATTGAAAAGGAGTGGCGCTGGCAAACCCAGCTCAATTCAAAGTCACCAGTTCGTTTAGCGAACTCTGTGAAGCCGTATTTTGTAGCTCTGCCGGCGATTTGTAGAAGTCCCAGCGTCGAGTCCAGGTTAACAGATACCTCGAAGGCATCGCGTTGGAACGAGGACCACTGATCGTAGAGCTTCTGGCCCAGGGCTTGGATTTGTGAAGTCACATTCTGTCCGCCAGTGTAGAGGCGAAATTTGAGCTCAGTAAATTTCCATTCCGGAACGTGGTCCAACCATTCGATGGGCAAAGCATCAAATTCTGGATGGGCAACATCTTTCAGCACCCGAGCCAGATCCGGATTCGAGGAGAAGGCTTCAACATCCCACTTCGGGAAGACAACATTCGAAGGCTTCCATTTCTCGATCAATCCAGCGCATTTGTGAGCATGTTGCTGTCCGCCTTGAATCGTTAGCGTTTGTACATGCATATCCGGCGAAATATCTGCCTGCACGTTGTACTGCAGCCGGTCAACCGAGGCGCCCGTCAACAAAATCTCAGCTTCTCCAGGCGAGGTGTCGCTACGACCGACGCCAAAGCCTCCGATCAAAATGACCTTGTCCGCAAGGAATTGCACCCAGCGAAAGTTCTTATCTTTCAGGTTCTTGGTCGCACCCAGAAGGTTGAGATGGCATTTGGCGACTGGCACGAGGTAGTCTTCCTCAACTGGCTGCAGGATTGGCCACAGCAGCTCGTAAGGAAGGTCACAGATATTGGCCGTGGTTTCCATGACTTCTGAGCCATCATTGCTGTGTGCGTAGTCAGCGTTCTCTAGCAGAAGAGTGGCGTCGCGAGGAGCGAAAATCTCATAGTCGATGATGGTAGTAAGACGAGAACGATGAACGATGTCCCAACGCTTTCTCGGCCATTTAAAGACATGGTCGAACAGAATTTCATGCGAATTCGCCGTCTCGATCAGGCTGCGGGCATCCAGTGGGCCGAACACCTCGTGCATCAAATTGACCGGAAGGTCGAGTAGGCCCTTCTCAACGGTAGGCGCGCGGACCTTGAGATCCATCGCTTCAAGCTTGTCCAAGAATTCTTGATCCATTCGTGCAGACGTGCCTGGAAAAGAAACATTATTGCGATAAATTATCGATTAATATTTTAAATTCATTTGTATTGTTTATTTACTTGCAAAAAGCCCAAATCTTCCTAAATTACCCCCCGGGGCGTTCGGAGAAGCGGTACGATCACTCGGCGCGGGTCCATGTTTTAACCTGCAACCATGAAGCCGCTGAAGATAAAGTCTAGGAAAATGCCGTTTTAGCAGCATTCTAGCCTGATTTAAAATTTTTTGCATTGTTTTAGTATGACCCCCCAGCCACGTGATGCTAACGGGCAGCGTTTTGCTACGCAAATCCTGTGATTTTAGCTGTTATGAAACTACCAATGGTGATTTTGATTAGAAAAAAAAGATAGCAATCTTTTTTTCAAACAAAAGGAAGCGATCGCGCGATTTGTAGATGCTTTCATGCTCTATCTAGCGAGGGTAAATCTAGTAGTTATACCAACAAAACAATATAGTAACCTTTCTTGGCGGTAGGTCGATGGCCCTCGATTTCCGTCGTTTCAAGCTTGTCGACGAGTTGTTTTTCCACTGGATCAGAGCGTACCTGAAAGAGAGAAATCGTCAAATTCTGCAAAGAAAACGAAGAAAACGCCCAGGAAAGGCGCTAGAACAACTAATGACCGATCAAACAGGTTTTGCAGCTTTTTCCAATTTTATGACAGTCTGTTAACGCTATTGGATAGAGCATAAAAAAATCCACGGAGGTTTATATCCAGTTCAAAATAATATAATTTAAGAGAAGAGAACCAATTGATAAAAAAGTCCCCTCCCCGCTAACGAATTGAAAAAAAAAGCCCTAAGAAACCGCAATTCCAACTCTTTGAAAGCAGCCATCCTCATACCGGAAACCGACACGAAAAGCCGAAAAATCGGATTATCGAAATCGAATCGAATTCTAAGAAATTGAATCGTCTCTGCGAAATATTTATCAACAACGTTCAACAAAATGAGAAGAGATAACAACGGGAAAGCAATACTATCAATAATCATCGTAACGGCCGAATTCTTCCTTCCAATCTTCATCCTCGTCAGGATGTGGGACATAGCAAAACTCAAAGGGTATTTGGTGGCTGTCATCAAAAGAATCGGGTACGAAATCATCATGATCGTAATAGAAGTCATCACATAAACTGGAGTCCGGGCTTCTGGGAAGAAGCGACGTCATCGAAAATAAGTGACGTTCACGAGACCATCTCAGCTCAAAATCGCCCGCGCGGCGACTAGCCCCTCCTCCGTTCTTCAGCTCCTTGCTTCCGATTTGTAGAAGTCCCAGTTCCGAATCCAGGTATATAGAGATGTCCAACAAGCCGCGTTCGAACGAGGACCACTGATCGTAGAGCTTCTGACCCAGGGTCTGGATTTGTGAAGTCACATCCTGGCCGCCAGAGCCGACCCAACATGTCAGCGCAGTAAATTTCCATTCCGGAACGTGGTCCAACCATTCTACGGGTAGTTTGCGGAATTTTAGTACGCGGACATCTTTCAGCACCCGAGCCAGATCCGGATTCGAGGAGAAGGCTTCAACATCCCACTTCGGGAAGGCAACGTTCGAAGGCTTCCACTTCTCGATCAATTCAGCGCATTTGTGAGCATCTTTCTGATCACCTTCAAAGATCAACCGGTCTACACGCATATCCGATAAAATATCTGCCTGAAGGTCGTACTCCAGCTCCGACACGGAGGCACCGAACAGCAAAAGCTCGGCCTCTTCGCGCGCGAATTCGACAAAGGTCCAGTTTTCGAAGAAGCGCACCTTCTCGCTAAGGCATTTCACGGTAAAGAAGCGTTTCTTCAACAGCTTCACTGTAGCTCGCAGAAGATTGGGATGGCATTTGACGGTCGACAGCAGATCCGCTTGGCTAAGCGGCTCCATGATCGAACATAGGAGGTCGTCGGGAAGGTCGTAGATGTTGGTCGAAGCACCCATGACTTTCGACAAATCGGCGGGCAATTCGAGTAGACCCTTCTCAGCGGCAGGTTGACGACCTTCGAGCTCCATCGCTTCAAGCTTGTCCAAGAATTCTTGCTCCATTCGTGCAGACGTGTCTGGAAAAGAAACGTTATTGCGATAAATTATCGATTAATATTTCCAATTCATTTGCATTTTTTATTTTCACTTGCGAAAGGCCCAAATCTTCCTAAACTTCCCCCGCGCGTTCGGAGGAGCGGTACGGTCGCTCGGGGTGGGTTATAACCAGGCCCGTAAGAGGGGGGGGGGGGCGAGGGGGGCGAGCCGCCCCCCCCGAAATCGGCCGAAGGCCGAAAAGTTCATAAGGGGGGACCCTTATGATTTAATTTTTCCCAAAAATTTTTTGCCTGCGGCGCTGTTTTTGTCTATTTTTAACACTAGTTTTAGTGTTATAACCCCTATGTTTTCAAAAATTTTGCCTGCGGCGCTGTATTTTTAGTCATATTAGTGAAAAATTTTTGGGGTCGCCCCCCCCCGAAATTTGGGTTTGTTACGGCCCTGGTTATAACCCACAGCGGAAACAGCTAAACAACGAAGGTCGGCCGGCTACGGCATAATTCAAATGACGGAGCAACGTAACGAGTAGCATAACGTACCATCTCGTTTGTCTAATCAATTTATTTAACAGGGTAAAATCCAGATGCTTAGCAAAATAAAGTTTTTAACTTTTCATTTATATTTTATCGTTTTCAGCGTACTTTTGTACCCATGTACCGAAATTTTGTTGCGTCCCGGATGAATTTCACCAAAATTTGCTTTTATCTCGAAAATATGAGCTCGGACGGAAAAACAAGACATATATTAGTAACCTACGCAAAAATGGCATCGTTTAGTAATTTTTCCTGCCGTATTTGAAGTAGAATTTGGCCAAAAATGCTTCGATATTAAAATAAAAATCTTCTAAAGCTAACTCCTCTCAGGGCTACGGAACGATTTTTATGATTTTGTGCTTAAAAGATGCGGAATGACCTGTTCTACAATTCGTCCCGTTTGGATTTCCCCAATAACGTCGAAATTTTTTTAAATCAC